TGTGTGTGTGTGTGTGTGTGTGTGTGTGTGTGTGTGTGTGTGTGTGTGTGTGTGTGTGTGTGTGTGTGTGTGTGTGTGTGTGTGTGTGTGTGTGTGTGGCCTGAGGACTGGATTAATCATTTATTGAAAGCAGCAGAAACAAACACCGCGGTGGCCTTCAGCAGAGACATGAGATGTTTGGTTTTTCAGACCAAACATTGGAGTGACTCAGAAATCCTCCTCAGCCTGAGAACAGAGCCAGAACAACGCGTTTGGATTCAGAGAAACTAAATTAGATCTACGAGTTAAACAGCCTGGTGTCTGTTTTACTCTAAAATAAACTCTTTTTTTTTTTTGGTTATTGGTGAAAATTATTGAATCTTTTAAAAAAAAGTTACTGCTCACCCTTTCCAGTTATCTTAAAGGGATATGTTGGTATATTTCCCAGCATCAGACGGGTTAGAAGGCATAGCCCTGACCCGGCTGTGCTTTAGCTTTAGCTTAGCATAAAACACAGTAAGTGAATGGATCCAAAAGGCATTGAGAGCAAAGACGTCCTTTAAAATCCCGCAGTAGTGATCCCAGTTCTGCTCGGTGAACCTGGATAACCAGACTGGCTGCAAGTGAAAATAATTAAGCCTCGTTTATAAGACACACCATGCCGGCAAATCGGCGTAATGTTACCGCGAGGGTATGTCTATAAACGCGCCATGACGGCATGGTGTTGCGCAACTATTGCGGCATTCGTTCCGCCTCGCTTGGTAGGAATATTGCAGTAATGGTCTGTCGTGTGCGCCCTGGCGCGACAGAGGCAGTTGTCATGACGACGTGGGGAGTTATTGCTGAGCTCTGGCTGGAAAATTTACTGAAAATGAAAGTAAACACGGGCAGTAAGGTTTGCTTTTTGAACAAAATCAGCTGAGATGGCAAACTGGAGCACCTCAGCGCTCCACGAGCCTCTCTGTTAGAGCTGAAGCTCAGATCAGCAGAGACCGCAAAGGGACCGATGCGGGCAGACGCCTTTAGGAGCTGCTTGTTACAAAACTTAACGATCACGGCTTCAATCGCAATAAAAAGCAAGTTACGTCCAAGATAAACGGAAGTCTGCGGCAGCGCAGAGACCGCCCCCATACCCGCTTTATGCCGCCATCACCTAATCTTTTATGAAATTGTCATGATTGCGCCACATTACCGCCACGGTCTGATCTTATAAACGACCTTTATCCTCCCCAGGGAGCCGCGGCGAATCCCGTTTAGCAAACGCTCTGGTCCTGTAAAAACAGCTGGAGTAGCATGAAGGAGCCTCGGGCGCCATGTTAGACTTGGGACTACTTTACGACAGAGCGCAGCTGTAAGCATCCGCTGGCAGCCCCAAAGACACCAATCAGAGCGAGGCTGAACACCAACAGGAGGATGTTGCAGTGCATTGTGGGACATTTAAGCTGTTACTCATTGGTAGCTGGAGCTGGTGATGAATCAGACTTTCAGATTAAAGTCTCAACGCTGGGTTACAACACAGGAAACACAAACGTTTATTTTTCGCTTCGTTAATGCACATTTTTAGTTTCCTGGTGTTTATAAAACTAGTTTTATTATTTAAAGAGCAAGTCACCCCCAAACCAAGTTTTTTTTTTGCTGATAAACTACACAAATGAGTGTCTAATCATGCTGTAGACAAGCACACTCAATCATTTGGCACTTTAGTGCATTTTAGTTAAAATTAAAAATTCTGCCTAAAACTGTCAGTGTTGTGCCATTGCTATTGGCTAAGAAGTACACAATGATGCTAGATGGTACGTTATGATGTCACAATGTCATTGTGAGCCTGTGTGTGTATTTGTTAGTGGGTCCGCCCTCTCGGTCTGCCAGGCAACAGCATTTGTTGCATTTTTCAAACATAAAGTGGGAGTGGAGTAAGTTCCTTGCAGGGGGTGACTTGCTCTTTCATTTTTATCCAGTAAATCTGACAATGTTTTGTGCAACAGATTAGGAATGAAAAGGATTATTTAGCAGATTCTGCAGAGTGGCTGGACTCTCCCTTAGAGATAGGGTGAGAAGCTCGGTCATCCGGGAGGGGCTCAGAGTAGATCTGCTGCTCCTCCACATCAAGAGGAGCCAGTTGAGGTGGCTCGGGCATCTGGTCAGGATGCCTCCTGGGCGCCTCCCTGGTGAGGTTTTCCGGGCACGTCCAAACAGGAAAAGACCTAAAGGTAGACCCAGGACACGGTGGAGGGACTATGTCTCTCACCTGGCCAGGGAACGCCTTGGGATTCCCCCGGAGGAGCTGGCCCAAGTGGCTGGGGAGAGGGAAATCTGGGTCTCTCGCCTTAGGCTGCTGCCCCCACGACCCGACTCCAGATAAGCGGATGAAAATGGATGGATGGATGGATTTAGCAGACCTGAAGCGGGTTTTGTTCCTGTTTAACGACAGCTGCAGGTTTACTGGGATGTTTCTACTGGTTGGTGTCTCTTCCCAGTTAAAAAGCAAAGTTCTGCTCTAAGATTTGTCCTTTAAACTTAATAAATGTGTTTGATTTAAAATTGTTACCATTAAATAAAAACTTCACGGAGCTGCTTGTAAAAATAGAAACGTTCTTTATTGTTTGGCTGAAGTGACCCGTGGGTTTGTTTCCATGGAAAAGCTGATTCACTCATTTAGACCGTTGCTAATGACGCTTTTTCTCACCCTGAAACAGAAACGGGTTAAAACTTTTAAACCTGGAGTTGTTTTCCTGGCTGCCGCCCCGTCTGAGGCGTGTTCCGGGCTGTTCCGGGTTAACCTTCTGCCTCTCAGCTCAAACGCGGAGAAACCAAATCCTTTCCTTCGCTTCAGATTCTGACTCACTTGGTCATCAAGGTCAGCCTTTCAGGCTTTGCTCGGCCCAAAAAGAACAGTCAGAGAAACAAAAGCAGGCTGCTCCGGTGTGGGAACGCTGGAATGTTGGGCATTGATGGGATTCGGGTTCAGAACAGGGATGTAGTTACTGGGAGGACTGGGAGATGAAACCTGCAGGGTTTGCTCTGATCCAGGTTGTGGTCTTCAAGGACCGGAGTCTGGTTTGGGAACGTCGGGGTCTCGTTGCTGATTTATGCAGATCCAGGTCTTTTGTCACGCAACGTGAATGTCACTGGGTCGGCTCCTACAAGTCTGAGGTCCTGAGGTGTTTCTCAATGCCAAGGAACCTCGCCTTGATGTCTTGGCCCCGCCCCAGTTGCCTAGGAGACACGTCATCAGGAGCTGCTCCAATGTTCATGTTCTACCGAGGCGTGTGATCTCCGTTTGTTAGCCGTTTAGCTAGCTGAGCAAGGATTCACGGGAGGTGCCTTGTAGCCTAGCCTTGGTCAAAAATTTCCCAGAATACACCGCGGTATTTTCCAAAGGATGGTGGATCAGAAGCTGGCAGCGAATTCCGGTGAAAATTCCCAGTTTAAAGTGGGAGTCAAGGCATGGAGGGAGAAGTACGCTTCTGAAAGAGGCGCCGCCTGGCGGACCGAGAGAGCGGCACTGAGGCAGTGATAGGCCGCACCCCCCCCCCGCGTGCGCTGTCGGAGTTTCTCAAAGCGAGTTGTTAACGTGCGCACTCGCGCGTGCACGCACGCACACAATCACAGTAGACTTACCGCTCAGGAGAAGAGCAGACACAGATTCTGCAGCATTCTGGAGGACTTCCTGTTAACCGCGATCATTAGATGGAAGGGCAAGCGGCTCCGAGCACCAACGTGTCATATCGGCAGGTGAGTGGTTGAGCCAGGTGGAGGTGCGGCTGCCACGTAGTCACCTGCTGACAACGTCACGATTTTCAGCTTCGCCATCAGCCACAGCTGGCTCCGAACAAACGTGGAGCAGAGTTTTAACCTGATGATAATTACGGTTTTGGGCCGAAATATTAAATTTAAGTAAGTTGCACTAAACTGCGACACTAATGATTCCACGTGTCAGCACCATTAGACCCTCACCTGTACAGGTTATCCGCAAAAACAAGTTTATTTAGGTTTAACTTGCACTTTTAATGTAGCTCAACTAATTTTATCTATCAGGCTCACGTCTGAAATGTTTTTAGATCCAAAGCAGTTAGTTATGGTTGGTTAGTTCTAATTCAGACGATGTATACACAATTAAAAAGTAAATGGCCCGTTATAAATCTATATTAAAACTTACGTCTAAAATATAACGTTTCATCACCACGGAAACCGCGGTCACGTGATGCAACTTAATCGTTTTCTTTGACCAAGGAAGGACCGTGTCCTCGTAAGCAAGGCGCCTGGCCTTGGAACACATCGCCCAGCGAGGCGCCTTGACGTTGAAATTCTACCCGGTTTTGAAAGGAAAAAGACGGACCGATGTCCAGAATCAGTCTTGGAGAGAGAAGGTGGGGACCTCCGTCCTCCAGGGGGAGCTCACGTTGACGCCACCGCTCCTCCTCAGCGCAAGTAATCAGTTGAGGTGGTCCTGGAGTCTGATGGGGAAATCTCCTGGTCTCCGGAGGTTTTCCAAGCTCTGCAAAAGGATCTTGGGATTAGGAATCCCCTCTTTTCCAGGAACACCTTGAGATCTTCCAAGAGGATCTGGAGTTTGTCACTGAGGAGGTCTGTGTTTCCCTCATGGACCTGGGACCTCCACGACCTCACCTGGGATAATTGGTGGAAAATGGATGAAGAATTCACAGAAGCTTCTAAATATTGAAGAATTTAATTTAAGAGGCTTTATGGAACTCCTGTGTGACAGTTCTACCTGGCAGTGTTAGGACACGCCCCCTGTCAGGTGAAACAGGGCTCAGGTGTGTATGAGGAATTGTCCCAGAGAAGCTGCAGAGATGAAAGTTCAGCTGTCTTCTTGTTGCCTGATTCAAATGAGAACTTGTTCTTTATTAAATAAGTTAGACTGGGTTTCCTTCATCCCGGAGTTCCCAAAATGTTCATTTCCCAAAACAACAAAGAAAATCAGTCAGGGAAAAACGTTAAAGGGAGTCAAACACAATTCAACAACTTCAGAGTTAGTTGTTACGGCCAACGTGTTTCACCTGAACGATGCAAATCCTCCTGCAGGTTGCTTAGAAACCGTTGTTTGGGATTAGAGGCAGAAGCTGCTCCTGGAGGAGATGATGTGATGTTCCGTCGCTGATCCGAGGAACGCTCGGAGAGTTTCACAACGGGAAGATCACAGGATCCCTGCCAGACTGGACCTCGGGATGGTGAACTGCTGCTGAATAATCACAGGATTCCGTTTAAATAACCCTGCAAATTCCACGTATAAAAGCACAGAATTCCAGGTAAACAGCCTCACGATTCCATGTAAACTGTCACAGAGTTCCATTCAACCAGCCATGAAATGAACGATCATAAAATAGCTCGTGTTTAATCACAGAATTCCGTTGAGTAACGGAGTGATGGGAGGTGACATAAAGATTTATAACGTCTCCTGAATCCCTGGGAACTCAGGGGAAGGGACGTTAGCTTTTGGCTGCTCTCAGACTAGCCGTTAGCGCGTCAGTCCTGAAGGAGGTCAACTCTGTTTCTCTGAGCAGAGGCTGTTCAGGAAGCTGTTCATCCCAGGAAAGATAGAAATCTCCAACGCTTCCGCAGGAACACTGTTCAGAGTCGTCTCAAAATTCCCTTTCATTCATTTTTCTCTGAAAACACAAAGATTTTGTTTTTTCAAAATTTCAGATTTAGGATTCAAATTTTGGTTTTTGTGACGACAACTGGCTGTTTCATGTGCATCGGGTCAAAATTAAATTATAATATTTAACAAAAAATATTTAAACCAAGTCCTCGGGGGCCCAAGTCCATTTTGCCTTGGGCCACCGAATTTCTGGCAACAGCCCTGCTCATTGATCCGAATGAAAAGGGCTTCACCGGCTGGAACGGGAAGTTAGACTTTCACAGAATCGTTTTAGTTTTTAATGCTGAAACTAAAGATTAAAAAGGACATGTTGACAATGTTTTAGTGTTTTATTTGGTGTTTTCACCTGTTGGCCCCTGCAGAGCGGAACGGTGGAGCCCTCTTCAGCTGTACTTGTGATGAAGAGGAGCTGACGGGATGAAAAGAGGATTGTAAACTCAGAGGATCCAGTCAAGGACGCAGAGCGGCTCTGAAATGTGCAGATTTGATGTGATTTAATTTCTTTATTCCGTTTGCATGAATGAAACCTTTAGTAGAATCTTTCTTTTTCATAAAATGAGAAAAAAAACAGAGTTTTTCAGGTTTCATTTGTTCTGTAAGAATGAAAATAATTTTTCTTGCTCGCTAGTCACAAACCCTCCCACCTGTCAGGTGAGTCACTTCCGAACATCTCAGTCACAACCTTCTGTACCGATGAATACGTGTAAAAATGGCCGCCCAATCAGATTTTTAGCAGATTCAATTGTTTTAGTAACCAAATTTGAACTTGACCTTAAGTTTTCCTGATGAAACAGGGTTAGGGTTAGGGCTGGAGCAGGAAGTCCTTTCAAAACTCACTTCCTGTTGCAGGTTTCAACGTCCAGGTGACACTTTTGTTCAAGAAAAATATCAAATCCAAACAAAACGAGGAGGAAGATAAACAAAAACCAAGTTCTTTTTCTAATTATCGTGACGTCAGTCAAGAAAAATGTCGTTGCTGTCAGGCGTTGCCATGGGAACACCTGAGTCTGTTGATTTTCTTTGATAGATGTTTCATAAAATCTGACTTTAGTGAGATGTAAAATATTTGGTCTTAAACTAATTAGATCAGATCAGAGTCATGTAGCATCCGGTGTCCTCATCATTGAACCGTCCGGCTCATTAGCAGCATGAAAAAGAAGACACGCCCATTATTATCCATCACACGCCGTTTCAACTCCTCTTTGAATTCTTTCATTTTTAAAAGCAACAGTTTTTAAAAATGTTCAAAGACAACAAAACGAGTGTTTTACTGTGTTTTTGTTCCTGTTTTCTGTTTCCTGGTTTAACTGAAACATTTTAAAGCGGACAGATGCGTGACTTTTTTTAGTCATCATAGTTCTGTGGTCGATTCCAAATATGGTTTTGATGTTTTTCTGCAATAAATCCATCTCACAAGACACAATTTCAGCTGTTTGATACTTGATAGTTTCAGTACCTTCCAGAATGATTCGCTTTAGGGCGCTGTCCCTTTAAGCAAACAAGCAGGAGGAGGCCACGTCCACCCATCACTTGATTGGCTGCAGTGAGGAGCTGAGCCGCAGCAGCACTCCTGCACATGAGAGATGGTCCTAGGCTAACTTCCCTGTTTGTGACTAATGGGCGGAGCCACTCGGAAGCTAGGGACAACGATTTAGCACATGCCCACCCCCTACCGCCATCGCCTTTCATCCCGCGCCGACAAAGAGCAGCAACCCCAACCACTCACCAAGCAACTGTAAAGCAGCTGCAGGTGTGAATCCGGGCACCGCCCATGTTGTGACATCACAAACAGGGACTTGTTTAAACGGCTGATTTCAGGTGAATAATTCCCGAAGCCAACAGAAAACAAAAAGACGTGTTTTTACTCACGTTGCAGTGTTTATGGAGGCGGTCACGTGTAAAACTGTAAACGTCAGACCTACTCGTGTGAATCGAAGACGACGTCTTTTACTCGTCTCTTAAACCGCCAACCTTCTCTGTCTGAACGTGTCCTGACCAGAGGCAGGACGAGCACGTTCATCCCTGAGGGTCCGCAGTGTCTCTGCTGTGCTGACGTCAGGGATGGACGTGCTCTCGCTAGCTTTTACCTCATTTTGCTCCTTGAGTGAGAACTAAAACGGCCTCTGAACACCGGTGACTGAGAACCTTCACCGGTAAAACGTTCTGATGTTTGGCTTTGAGTCCATCTGATGAAAGTCAAAATGAGAAACCAGCTTAGGTTTCTGCGATGACGGATCTTCAGAACCAACCTGCTGAGGATCAGAAGCAAAAGGATTCTGATTCGTCGATGATGAGTTTCTTTCTTGAGGGCGATTATTTTCCCTCCAGGCAGAAAACAGGACTGAGTTTTTCAAGTTTCTCCCATAAGGACGTGGAAAATCACGTTGTCTCGTCGTCGTCTTCCTCCGCTTATCCGGGTCCGGGTCGCGGGGGCAGCATCCCAACTAGGGAGCTCCAGACCGTCCTCTCCCCGGCGACCTCCACCAGCTCCTCCGGCAGGACCCCAAGGCGTTCCCGGAGCAGATTGGAGATGTAACCTCTCCAACGTGTCCTGGGTCGACCCGGGGGCCTCCTGCCGGCAGGACGTGCCCGAAACACCTCCCCAGGGAGGCGTCCAGGAGGCATCCTGACCAGATGTCCAAACCACCTCAACTGGCTCCTTTCGATACGGAGGAGCAGCGGTTCTACTCCGAGTCCCTCCCGAATGTCCGAGCTCCTCACCCTATCTCTAAGGCTGAGCCCGGCCACCCTACGGAGGAAACTCATTTCGGCCGCTTGTATCCGCGATCGCGTTCTTTCGGTCATTACCCAAAGCTCAAAGCGTGGAAAATCACATTCTTATTAAATGTTTTAGGGATCATTTTAGTTTTGCTGGTTCACCAGAGCAACGACCGAAGTGTTTTCCCCACATTTAAAACACGACGATGTCACCCAGATCTGAGATCAGTCATAAAACATCATTAAAGTCAGAATCCAGAACAAAATTCCTCCTCCTGATCCCAACCAAGCTCCAAATGCAGAGCCCAGCTGTTTCTCTCTGGCTCTGTGGAAAAATGTCCAGGTGTCAAATGTGAACAAATAATCAGCCACAACGGACGATTCCATGGATTTTTACGTTTTTCCAGGTGTTCATCCTGCAGCATCTTCAGCTGAAGCTCGGACCAACAGGCGTTGCTGAAGAACTCGGCTTTGAAACTTAAACTGATGCTCCAACCTGCTTCCTGTTCTGTGAACGACCTGAGAAATCCTGATTCTGTTTCCTGTTCTCGGTCGTCATCGAGCAGCAAGGGAGGAAGCTTCTGGTCGGATAAATCCAGACGTATTCTGCTCCAGAGCCATCCAACAATCAGCATCACATAATCCAGCAACGATCCGGGTCCCAAGACTGAGATTCACTTCTATCACAAGAGAATCCGGGGATGAATGCGTCTGGGAGCAGAAAGGAGTCGGAGGAGCTCATTAACCAAACCAGAGGTTCCAGATTTAATGTTCCGAAGAATTCCTCAACAAAAACAGAATATCTGAAAATTGGTGCAACTTTGCATGTTTTCACAAGAGGTGAACCGGTGTGGGTTTCAACACGGCCGATAACAAAACTCACTTAAACCATTTAAAATAAACGCGTAACTGTGTCCAACATGACTTTACTGATATGGTCCTCGTCTCGTTTCTCAGCTGCATTTACTTCAAATTAAGTTCCGTTTGTCCAAAATCACAAGAAGCATCAAAACAACGTCTGTCTGAACAAACTCTGGCTCTTCTAAACCTGATTTAAGTGATTCTTGTCATCTTAAATGTTTCATTTGGCATTCTGACGCTGTTCTGGGATCAGTTTTCCTTCCAGCTCATCACTTTTAGTCTGATTTCCTGGTGATTTGCAGCCCGAGGTCCGACCCAGACACTCCAGAGATGGTGATGGAGGTGATGATGAAGGAGCTTCTCGGTGTGGGTGTTGTGCAGACCTCCTGGAGCAGCGAGGCGGTTGGATGCCTCCCTCCTATTGGTCCGTTACCAGAAGCCGCTCTGATGACACAGGCAACTCTCCGCTGATAAAGAGAACCGAACCGCGGCGGCAGCAAGTGTTGGACGGAGGACGGAGCCGGTCCATGCGCCTCTGAGAGTCCCAACACGGCTGGAAGAATCTGTCCAACTCCTGAAGGTACCGAACCACGCCTCGCGCATTCATCCAAACTTTAACCAAACATTTCTCTGTTTTTGTTGCTTCATAAATGATTAAAGTAGGGACTCCGTGCGCCTTTACGCAGGCGCGCAGCTCCAAACGCACCGCAGCAGGTTGTTGCTCCCAGAATAGAAAAGATTAGGAACATCTGGAAGAGATTTTCAGTCATGTGCTTTTTCTGTTTGTCTATAGCGCATTGGACCGAGCCGGAACCGCCTGATTCTGTCCATCTGATCACTCTACTGTCTTTTTCTCTCTGTGTCTGTGGTGAAGAATGGAGTGGTATGTCCTGGTGCTGATGCTGAGCCTGCCGCCCTCTATCCACACAGATTGTTCTTCCCAGTGCCAGAAATGCGCGCAGCTGCTTCGCCCCGACGCCGCCTTCAGCAGCCTGGTGAGAGCAACTTTACGCACAGCTTCCGGTCACTGACCCAAAGCAACCAGGAGAATAACGTCCATCTGTTCCAGACTTTTAAACAATTAAATTAAGATCAACTCCCAAAAGGGAAAGTTTATTTCAGGAAAACTGGTTTTATCCAGTTGAACCGGAAGTTTGAGATGAAGTTTGAGTTAAAAAATCTAAATATGTTATCTTCAAATGTGTGTGTGTGTGTGTGTGTGTGTGTGTGTGTGTGTGTGTGTGTGTGTGTGTGTGTGTGTGTGTGTGTGTGTGTGTCACAGTCCTGCAGCGCGGAGTGTGAAGCGGAGCTGCAGAACTGCGGTCCGGTTCCGCGCCTGGCGGACTTCACCGAGGACGAGGCGGCGGAGGCGGAGGAGAGCCAGCAGGCTGACCTGGTCAAGCGCTACGGCGGCTTCATCAAACGGATCGACAAGAACAAGAACAAACTCTTCTCCTCCTCCTACTCCTCCCCGTGGCGCGAGAACTCGGTCCTGAAGGCCGCCGCGCTCCCCAGAAAGTACGAGGAGTTGTTGAAGCGGCTGGAGGCGAGAGAGGCGCAGCAGGACGCACCGGAGGACGCAGAGGACCGCGTCCTGCACTCTTACGTTAAACGGTACGGCGGCTTTTTACGCAAATTCGGCCCCAAGTCAAAGAGGAGTAGCTCCGCGGAGCAGGAGAGCCAGGAGCCCGAGGAGCTGCAGAAGCGCTACGGGGGCTTCATGCGGAGGGTCCGGCCCAAACTGAACAACCTGAAGTGGGACAAGCGGTACGGAGGCTACCTGCGCCGCCACTTCAAGATCTCCGTCCGCTCCGCGGAGGAGCCGTTTTACTCCTCCGATGAGTCGAGCTTATAAAGACCCGCTGGGGAGGAGGAACTGGGTTCCTGCGTCTGGCTGCTTGCCTGTAAAACTCATCTGTGTGATCTGCTCCATCGTCTGTCCACACCTGTAAACGCTAAATAAAACCACGTGTTCAAACCCGCACCCGTTTGTCCCACAGCTTCAGTCACGACCGGAAGCGGCTGGGTCCTCCTGGATGTTTGGAGACTTTACGCACGAAGTCCTGCGGGTTCACCTCAAAAGTAAACAGGAAACGCTTCAGTCATTAAACGCCGTTTTTATTTCGTGTTGTTTGATGTTTTTTATTTTATTTTGTATTAAATGAGATGAATATCAAAGAAAAAAAATCACCACAAATGTTTCAAATGAACTTTGTCTCAAATTTTTAACATTTATGCTGAAAAACGATCAGCGGTAAATAAATGTGAATTTTTATCAGTCCAGCAGAAAATCTGAGAAACAAACTTTTATTTATGCTTTCAGATCACAAATCACCTGATTAACACAATAAAACGTCTTTTTGCTACTAAAAAGATGATCTAACAATAATCACTTCAAAGTAAAGTTATAACGAATCTTTCAGAGAATAAAACGGTTTTTTATTTAAAGACAAGTGGATTATAGCGCCGCCTGGTGGAGAAAAAAAGCAGCACGAGAGAGCCCGGTTCTGGTTCTGATGGAGATAAAAGAACAAAACGTGTTCATTTATCATCTTCACCTGTTCTACAGGAACGCTTCACTGAATCATTTCCTCTGTTTCCTCGTCTAAAGGCATCCCGACGACTCATTTATTAATAATAACAGCTGACAAAAGGATGAAAACATAAATAAAAGAATTAAAACATGAAAATGTCTTCTTGTGATTGTTATTCCTCCGAGTTACCATCACATCCCTTTAACACGTTTAGACGGAGCTCCGACTGTTCTGTTCCACTAAAACCAGGAAAGATGATGAACGAATCGGAGCGTTTCATGAGAAATAATAACCTCCCGCCATGTTTGATTCTCATCTTTTACAGAAATAAAACTCAGCTGGAAAAACACCGACAGAAAAAATACGTGAAATTTTTCTGCTTCAGCTTCTAAAAATAATCCAAAAATGACTTTTCTTATAAATTTGTTTCAGAAACATGAATATTTATGACCAAATAAAGAGAAGTTCTGGAATGGCGGAGCGAATCCCTGTTTTTGTTTTTCTAACAGCTTGATGGAAAAATATAAACGGATTTTCAGGATGATTTGGTCACGCACCACGGCGTTCCACCGGACCAGATCCTGGTTTTCCAGCTGCATCCTGCTGCTTTTCCCTGCTTTTTTCAGGGTTCTGACTCGTTATTCACACACTCGCTGCTCTGATCGGGCCAAAGGGCTGAAGAGAAACAGAAGCAAACTCAACTTTATGTGGTTCTGTCAGGAAGAGTTAAGGTAGAAATGATAAAAGAATGCATGATTAGGAATTTATTTAGCCAGGTGATGTAGCCCCGCCCCCTCAGGTAGACTTAGAACCATCTTCCAGAGCCTGAACGGACCGCAGGAAGCTGGACCTGCAGGAGTGAACTGGTGTTTTGAGCTCTTTGATCCTAACTGGAGGGTTTTTGTTTGCTTGCCAGTTGATGATGTCATCATCATACAGGTAAACGAGTCTCCTTCCACCTGCTGCGGGACTGATGATGTCCTCTCAGAGTCCAGAAGGTCCACAGTCCTGCTCCCGCTGGGTTTCATTACATCAGGAAGTGACGGCTCCAGCAGAAACATCAACGTTCCCCAGTGGAACCGTCAAAGCTTCTGCTGCTGCTCCGGTTTCAGCTGGAAACAGACTTCCTGTGTGCTTCCAGCAGCCAGATCTACGGTTTTCCCGACCCAAATGACTGTTTGACCCCGTCTGAGTAACCTTTGTGGTTCCTCACTTATCCAGAGGCTCCCCACTGGTCTGACCTAGTCTCTTAACCTATAGCGCCCCCCGCTGTAGTTGGCCGAGGCTGGTACTGCAGCGTGGACATCAACACGGTGACAGAAATCTGGGCTGAAGACGCTCGTCCACAGAGGACATTGATCAGGACGGTGTGTACGCTTACAGAATCTGTGAACACAAACGCTTCTAGCCTCACTCTTTTGTCGGAGTCAGGTAGGAGGTTGCCGTGGTGACCCTGATGAGCCACTGCTTGCAGCTTTAACATTTCTTTGTATATTGGTTCTTGGTAAACTTCTCAAACTTTTCACGGATCAGCTGCAGCGCCGATTCTTACGGAGCTGGTTTTGGAGTTTTGTGCAGCAGCTGCACTAATGTCCTCCAGCGGGACACTCGGGGACACTCCTGTCCTCTAAACCACAAAAGCATCAAGGTTTATAAACACTGACGCTCTGCAGACCCTTTTAAAACTGAGCATTTATTCTCCAGAGGGTTCGGGATAAACAGACACAGAACTGGAGGGAATGTCTCCGCTGCCGTGGAAGCGCGAGCACCAGGAAAAAGTCAGACTGGTCGGAACTTTGAAAGAATTCCACGTCAGGAGCAAAAACGACCGGAACCAAACAGCTGTCCTTCATCTCAGTGCTGCTCCTCCTCCTCCTCCGCCTGCCCTGGCTGACCTTCATCATCTCCGTCCGTCTGCCCTCCCTCCTGAGAGTCATCAGCGACGGTTGCCGTGGCATCCACCATGGCGACGGTCCCGACCTGCTGCTGCACGTCCGAGTTCTGAGCGGTCGCCAGCGGCAGCGTCACCAGCTGGAACTGCGGTCCGACCACCTTAACGAAGCTGCCGGGCCCGGCCGCGCCCTCCTGACCCACCGCCGCAGACAGAACCGTCACGTTGGCGCCGTCGGTCGCCAGCTCGGACAGCGGCGAGGTCAGGAGGGTGTAGCCACCCAGGTTGGCCCCCGCCTGCCCCCCCGCCACCGTCAGAACCTTTCCCAGCGGCAGACCGCTCAGCTGGTTGAGGGGAAGCGTGATCTGGGCGGGGGCGGCGCTGACGGCGGCCGGGCCGGAGACGGCGCGGGTCAGCCGCGGTCGTTTGGGAGTCGGGGGGGAGGGCACCGGGGTCAGGGTCATCAGGACGTTGTTCAGGTGCTGAGACTTACTCTTCAGCTCTTTGGCCCGCTTCCTGTGCTCGTCACACTGCTGCTCCAGAGCTGCAGACGGAACCAGAGCTGTCAATCAAAGTCCACACACATCAGCCAGAACATTACGACCACCCGGGACTCGGACCGGAGTTTTAGCCCAGCCGAGGAGAAAGCCCGGCCCAGACAGAACCGGGTTAAGTTCGTGCTGCATCCAAAAGGGTCCGAAGGTCTAAGCAGGCCCGCTTGACACGGATCAGAACCAGAAGTCGTTTTCAGGCTACAACCCGACACTTTGATGGTTCTGCTCGTTTCTGTTCGGATGATTTTCATTAAATCGGGTCGACAGAACCAAACGTCCATCTCTGTTCTAACAAGAGCTTAAACAGAAACCGGGCCTCAAATGAACCAGAACCATCCAGCTAAAGACGTGAAAACAGGCGGCCCGGTTCTGGTTTGTCTAAGTTTGGGCCGTGACTCGTGACTTCAGCATGAAGATAAACAAAATCTATTAGCAAACCAGACCGGACCGGGCCGGGCCTCAGAACCACTGGTGGTTGAAGTGGATCTGCTGGTCATAATGTTTTGGCTGAAGCAGGAGGAGGTCCGACGGGGACGGTGGTACTGACCGGCGAGGCTGCGGGTGTACTGCTCTCGGTACCGGTCCATCTGGCTCTTGTGACTGGCCAGAACCTTCTTCACCAGGTCCAACATCCCAAAGTTCTGGACGACGTTGTTCAGCAGCACGGCGTCTGAAAAGCACAAAGCGGGTCAGAACCAGGCCCGGAGGACGGGCAACCCCCATGACCCACAGCGTGGTTCTGACCTTTGACCTGCAGCGGCGGGTCACACACTCTCTCCTGCAGCCCCTTCAGAACCTCCTGCAGCTCCTTCTGGAAGTCCTCCACCACCTCCTCCAGAAGCCCCGCCTCCTTCACCGCACGCCAGAACGCCACCGAGTCCTCTGGAGTCACAACACAAAACGGGTTAACCACAAGAACTGGGTCGGGTCGACGAGACCTGACCGTGCTCATCATCACCTCCGATGGCCGTGACCCACTCTGAAGGTTCCTCCGGAACATCGGGGAACGGCACCGATGCTCCGTTCACTAGAACAGACAGGAAACAAGTTCACGACCCAAACGGACCTGCCAGAGTCCGGTTCTGTTCTGCTCTTGGTATTAGGAGCCGACTCCAGAACCTGAACAGACACCGGCAGCTGCAGAACTCACAGTCAGCCGACGAGGTGGACACAGAAAGCAGGTCGGTGGTCGGATCAGAACCGATGGCCACTTTGGTTCCGACCAGGTCGATCTTGGTGCTGCGGCAGGTGTTGGAGCAGACCTTGGTGTGCTGGTAGAAGTCCAGCGGGCCCGAGTCCATGATCTTCCTGTGGAAGGCGACAGAAACCCTGGTGAGTGCTGCCACCTGCTGGTGAAGAGGTGAGCTGCTGACCCAACAGAACCACAAACGGGTTCTGGAGGGAAAACTAGGAACCTCTGGGTCACGTTTGTGGGCCCGTGTGGTTCTTCTGGCTCAGCTGTGATATTTACATCAACCAGGAACAAAAGGTACAGGTTTTAATCCCAAACGGAGCAGAATTCCTGTCTCCTGGAGTTCTGACCTGAGCATGGTGCCGTTAAGGCGGATGGCTCTCTTCCAGTCTTTTAAGGTGGATTTTCCTGCTAAACACACAAACTCTTTGGGGCTGATGAGCTGGTCGTTGAACTAAAGCGAAAACACAAGTTTCCATGAGATCCCACACACACACACACATGCACGCATGCACACACACACTCACGCGCACACGCACGCACGCACATACACACATGCACACACGCACACACAGACACGCATGCATGCACGCACGCACACACACACACATGCACATGCACGCACGCACACACACACACACACATGCACGCATGCACACACACTCACGCGCACACGCGCGCACGCACGCACGCACACACGCACACACGCACACACACGCACGCACACACGCACGCACACACACGCAAGCACGCATACACGCACACACACACACGCACGCACGCACACACGCACGCACACACACGCATGCACGCACACGCATGCACGCACACACACACACACGCACACACACACACATGCACGCACACACACACGCTCACGCGCGCACACACACACACGCACACGCATGCAAGCACACACATGCATGCACGCGCACACACACGCACGCACGCGCGCACACACGCACGCACACACACGCATGCACGCACACACACGCACGCACACCCACACATGCACACACTCACGCGCACACACGCACGTGCGCACGCACACACATGCACGTACGCGCACACGCCACACACGCACCTACATGCGCATGCATGCACGCGCGCACACACACACACACACTCTCTCTCTAATGCTCACCTGGACACATTTGACATTGATCCCTGGACAGACGAACTTATTCCACACCAGCGTGGCCTTGGCGTCTCCACAGGTGATGGGGTAGCAGACGTCGGCGTCCACCTCCTCCTCCAGTTTCACTAAACAAACGTAAAACTCGCTGTGAGTCAAAAGAATCGCAACAGGAAGAAAAACACAAATCAAACCGACTTCATGAAACTAAAGGTGAGTGGATTCCGTCTCAGACATAATAATCAGTAACTGTAACTGATGGAGTAAATGTAACTGTAACTGATGAAATTACCGAGAACCGGCTCGTTCTTCAGCAGAGACTCAGCTGTGCTGGACTCCGGTTCTGTTTTCACCTCCGTCACCGTCAGGACGTCCTCTCTGAAGAGAAACGCCATCGTCATCATCACTGGTTTTATTTGTAAAGCACTTTTAATGATCAGGGAGATCCCGGCACAGAAAACCAACACTTCCAGTGAAAGATATAACAGTAACTGTATAAAAGCAAATATTCAAGCAGCAATTATTTCTGTCTGATTAGGAGGAATCCCCGCAGAGATGCACCAAAACATACCAGAACCTGCCAAAACTCAGCATTATCCATTTCACTGGAATTCAGTGTGCGGGTGTGCGTGTGAGTGCGTGTGTGTGCGTGCGTGTGTGTGCGTGTGCGTGCGTGTGTGCATTACCCAGCCTGAGGCGTTAGCTGTGCAGTCACCAGTACGGTTTTCTCCTCCTCCACCACACAGGGGAGGCCGTCGCCCACGGGTTCAGGGATGGTGACGATAACGACTTCACTCATCTCCTGCATGCCGACATCCGACGAAGCCATGGGAGGAGCTTTAAATCCAACAGAGACAGAAAATGTGACTCAACCGATGGAGAAAAAGGAGAAAATGCTTTTTATCCAAACGTTTCATCTTATTTACTCTTATATCATATTTCCTCTGCCCCTCAAATGAATAATTATTAAACAAAGTGTTAATCTGGTCGGTGGAACAAAAAGAGAATTACTGTATAAAAGTAAAGGTTATGGAGGGTGTAGGACTTAGATTGACATTAATTATACGTTTTTATTACAGTTTCTGCTGCAGCCTGAGGAAATATTCCTGAATATTTATGATTTTTGCTGATTTCACAGGTGAGTGTTCCTGTTTAAGACAAATCAACTCCGTAAAACATGAATTCCTGCACCAAGCAAGGAGCCCATTCCGTTTGTCTGAGTATGGAAAACAAGATGCCATATAATCATGTCTCAGACAGCTGAGAAAATTCTGTCTGAACTCCAGAATAGAACCAAACTTGTTTTATAATATCGCTCTTTCTTGCGATATTTTGTGTAATTCGTAATAAACGATTCTTGTAAAAAGAAAAGCTGGAGTTATTTAAAAACATTTCTGGTGTTATACAAGCACAACAGTATGAATTATTATGGGGTGGGGTTAGCTGAAAAACCTGTCTTGACTAATTTTTCTCGTGTTCTCCAGGAGAACAAATCCCATAAAAGACATTTTTACATTTATTTTAATCGCAGTTCGGAGACTAAATAACACTTAACGGAACGCGATGACGCAACGAATAAATCCTACCGTTAGATCATATCAGGCGTTGGGGGTGAAACCGGAGTTTATTCCAGCGCTGATGGAGGCGCAGACAAGCCGGGGCCGTTAGACCCATTTAACCGACAGCTGTCCGACTTTACATGAAAATAAAACATTTATTTTGAAGCTTGAACGCGGAGAGTCGAACATTTAAACCCAAGTAGTACTCAACAGAATGGATGTAGTAAAAAATTAGCTGTCTGTTCTGTAAACATTCACCTCTTCCGGTTCTTCTTCTTCTTCTTCTAATTGCAGTAGATTTGGTTGTATATGTGAAGGTCTGATGGTGTGTTCAGGAACTACTGGAAATTTGTAACGTCTGGGTTAAAATAATAACAGTGACAATAATAATGATGTTAATTTCACCTTATAAATCCGTTCACTTTTTCACGATGTTCATTTATTTGAATATCATCTCTCCCACATCTGTTTTTGAGCCTTTTAGATCAATGCGCTTGCATAAAAAAGGTAATTTGAACAAAACTAGTTTTTGATTTATTTAATCGCGGCAATGAACTCCGCAAAAATACAAATATTGTAACTAGGATCAACGTGTCTTAGTGGATTTTCTAGTTTCTTATATTAATCACCGTTTGTATCGTTATTTCTTTATCATCTATCATGCGTCTAAATTAACTACTGATCAATTCAAAAAATGTATAAAGATAAAATGATAAAATCATATGATTTGGTGAGGATGGAGGATTAATGTTTTAGTAGTGATATTATTTGTGGAAGTAAGAGAGCGGTTTATTTTTTGTGTATAAGGCCATTTTGTACTTTTTATTTATCTTGTCTTAGTTAAAGGGGGTAGGTCATATAAGATTTTTTTCTTCTTCCTCCCCCTATTTCATTCGAATGCTTATATTCTGATTTGAAGTTTGTATATTTAAACTTTGAGTGAAATAAAATTTATTGAATTAAATTAGGAACCAACCTCACACGGAATGTTTCAAGTCGGTCGATTAATTTCGCGCACAAGTCCGTTGTTGTTGACACTCCGGGATTGAAAATGGCTGCCACCAACGGTGTCTGGTCTGAGAAAATACTCCACCTTCTCCGCCGAATGAACAACTTTTACTCGACAGGTAGCAGAAGGCGGGTGGAGCGAGCAGTTTGGCGGAATGTGGAGAGTTTTAACTGAGATGATTCCGCAGGTTCGAGTCGGACTCGCTGCTTGAGGTTTGAGATAGACGGAGCTCAGGTGGGTTGGGTTCCTCCTCATGTAGCCTCTCTGCTGAGGCGTCACCCGCAGGTGTTCAGCCCGCCGCAGGGGGGCGCTGTTGGACTCTGTCCCGGTCTGGACTCGTACGAGAGCAGGTCGGAAGCTGTGGACGCTGTCCTCCGGAGTCTGAGACAGGAGGACTCCATTACCTGCCTGAAAGGATGGAGGGACGAGGTGAGCAGCTCAGCCAGATTTGTTCTAATGCAGATTTCTATTTACTTGTTTGGTTTTCACTCGTCTTAATGGGCAAATATTAGGATTAACTTGTATTTTTTCTCTCAGAAGGGTAAATAAAATTAACTAAAGAGAGGAAAGTGAGTGATTTGTGGGATTAGATGAATGAGACAGACATTTGCTTGATTTTCAGGTATTAGTATAAAACCCACAGATACATTTGATTCTAAATAACATATTTTACACCCAAACCTTTTTAAATGTGAGGCAGGTTCTCTCAGCAGTTACTGGCTGGTATTTGGTAATAATATGTAAACGAAAGAAGCAGAGCATTTGTTCTTTTGTAGGTGAGTAAATCTGTGGATCTGGGATGTAAAGCGGGTCTCGTGTGTTTCAGAAGTACAGCGTGATGCCCGGATGTTCTGACCCACCGCTGATGTGGATGGAGAGAGCAGCCACTAGTACGGTCTGACATCTGGGGCGGAGCCTCGTGTCTGCTCGGGTTCCTGTTGTGAGCTGACTGCTGCTTGTCTGCAGGTCTGTTTGGAGTTAAAAGGTACGGAGTCCACATCAATGGATACACAGTCGGGGAGAGTGGGGAGGTTAGCATGTGGCTAGCACGGCGCTCCAGGACCAAGCAGACATACCCGGGTCTTCTGGACAACGTGGTGAGTGAAGACTGGTACTTCTGGAGGAACCAGGTCCAGACCAGGGTTGGCCCGCAGCACCAGAATCGGTGCACAGGGATCATAACCTTTGACCTTTTTGCCATGTTTGCACTTTTTCTTTTATATTAAACTTTTTATCTGGAGGTTGAGAACAAAGCGTTTGAAGTTGAGATGATTCACTGTGATGTTCCTTTCGTCAGGCGGCTGGCGGCCTGGCGGCTGGAGTCGGTATCAGACACACTCTGATCAAAGAGTGCCAGGAGGAGGCGTGCATCCCATCAGCCATCGCTGCAACAGCTCGTCCCGTTTCAACAGTCAGGTGAGTTCAACGCGACGGCTCACCTGAAACGGAAGGAGCTGAGGATAAAATACTGAATCCGAGCAAACAAACTGATCCAGGACTAATCTGTTGGGCAGCAGTCACAAAAACAAACCAGATTCTGCACCTGGAGGCCTATTTACGACCCCAGAGGTTTCTGGGGTTATCGGGAGGTTTTCAGGTAAAAGTGAGGATCCTGACCGTAACCGAAACCAGATGATGCTGTTCTGGGTTTGCTTCTTTAGAACGGGGCAGGAGTGTTGATCTCAAAAAAGCAAAAACAAGAAACCTGTGAGTAGTGATGGAATGATGACGCCTCAAGGAGTGTGTTGACACGGTGTTGGTCATTCAATAGCGACACCTGCAGTATTTCTAAAGTCACTGCAGGTAAATAAGGTGGAAAAGCTTACAGGCTGCAAACCCACAGCAGGTGTGCAAGATTTAATTTCCTGTAATCAAAATATTACATCATTATGGAATTTAATTTACTCCATTTGTTTATGAAAGGAGTGTAACATTTGCTTATAACCTTTGTGTAAATGCTAAAATGAGCTGGCACGTTAAATCTTCTGAATGTGTCTAATAAAAATCAGAAGTAAAAGTTTTAACTTCTGTAAATGTGTTAACCTCTGAGTTAGATCGTACAAAATAAAAGACTAAATATGGATTCATTTATGCATTTTTATTGAGGAACAAACGTTTCTGCAGTGTGTTTGCTCCCAGGCCATTTGTCCTCTTAGACACCAGTTCCCCTGCCTTAGAAAACACTCTTTCACAGGGTACAGATGAAGATGGTGTGCATAACACACACACACACACACCATGAAAGTAGTTGATTAATTAAAGCAAACATTTGTTAAACATGCCTTCCTGCTTGGTAGAACACATGAGGGTGCAATAAGCTTCATGAGCTCCCTGAATCCCTCGTTTTCAACACTGGCGAGTGGCTGAGGATCACGTTAACCACGGCCTCTTCCACTGCTTGCTTGTTAGGAACTGCAAGCCAAAGGGAAATACTTTTTTAAAAGCTTTAAAAAGCTTATTAAAAGGATTTTACAAGCAATACCACAGAGTCACACAAAGCCTTTTGTGTGTAATTGACTATTTTTGACAATTCAGATTGTTTTTGCGATAATTTCAACACACCTGGGGTATGTGGAGCAGAGCCGACGCTTCACCTCCAATAAAATAATTTATCTGAAAGCAATTTAAGCCTCTTACCAGAGAAAGACTACAAACACATTTAAAATACAGAAATAACAGGAAACGTTGCCAAATGGAGAAAACAATTTACCTTTTTTGGCGTCAAAAGATCAAAATTATTCCAGACTGGGGAAAACTTCTTGGAACGATCCATGAAGTCAGCGGAGAAAAGTGAGGGTAAGGAAAAATCCAACAGCAAAACTCTATCCAACTAATAGTTTGTTTCCTTATAAACACAATTTGGCGCGGCGCATCCAAACGACACACTTCCTGTGTCGGTCACGTGATATTTTCTTACAGCGATACACGCACCGATACGGCTTTCACTCTTGTGCAGTCGACACTGGCGCGTCCGTCCCACCACTACCTGTGAGAGGATGAATATAACAAGACTCCATCCCTCCCTCCCTCTTCCACTTACCTGGGGTCGGGTCACGGGGTCACCAGCCTAAGCCGGGGGGCTCAGACTTCCCTCTCCCCAGCTCTTCCAGGGGAATCCTGAGGTGTTTCCTGGCCAGCCGAGAGACGTAGTCCCTGCAGTGTGTCCTGGGTCCAGGAGGCATCCTGACCAGATGCCCGAGCCACCTCAACTGGCTCCTCTCGATGTGGAGGAGCAGCGGGTCTACTCCGAGCCCCTCCCGAATGACCGAGCTTCTCACCCTATCTCTAAGGGAGAGCCCAGCCACTCTTCAGAGAAAACTCATTCCGGCCGCTTGTATCCGTGATCTCGTTCTTTCGGTCACTACCCAAAGCTCGTGACCACAGGTGAGGGTAGGAACGTAGATCCACCGGTAAATCGAGAGCTTCGCCTTCTGACTCAGCTCTCTCTTCACCACGACAGACCGGTACAACGCCCGCATCACTGCAGATGCAGCACCAATCCACCTATCGATCTCACGCTCCAGTTTTCCCTCACTTAAGAAAAAGACCCCGAGATACTTAAACTCCTTCACTTGGGGCAGGACCTCATCCCTGACCCGGAGAAGGAATTCTACCCTTTTCCGAATCAAGACCATGGTCTCAGATTTAGAGGAGCTGATTCTCATCCCAGCTGCTTCACACTCGGCTGCGAACCGCTCCAGCGAAAGCTGAAGATCACGTTCTGATGAAGCCAACAGGACCACTTCATCTGCAAAAAGCAGAGACCTGATCCTCAGACCACCAAAACGGATGCCCTCCACACCTTGGCTGCTCCTAGAAATCCTGTCCATGAAGGTTATGAACAGAATCGGTGACAAAGGGCAGCCTTGGCGGAGTCCAACTCTCACTGGGAACGAGCCCGACTTACTGCCAGCAATGCGGACCAAGCTCTGACACCGGTCACACAGGGACCTAACAGCCCGTATCAGAGGGCCTGGTACCCCATACTCCCGGAGTACCCCCCACAGGGCCCCCCGGGGGACGCGGTCAAACGCCTTCTCCAAATTCACAAAACACATGTAGACTGGTTGGGCGAACTCCCGCGCACCCTCCAGGACCCCCCTAAGGGTACAGAGCTGGTCCAGTGTTCCACGGCCAGAACCAAAACCTCGTTGCTCCTCCTGAATCTGAGGTTCAACAATCCGATGGAAAAAAAACTAAAAAAAAACCTTGGAAGTGCGTTGTCTCTCTCGTTTAGTTTTCATTTCACCTGCGTATATTCTGCAGCTACACCTATGAAGACGAGGAGGGGGTGTTTCCAGAGAGCCAGTTTGTCTTTGATCTTCAACTTCCTGCGGACTTCAGACCCCGCGTCGGGGACGGAGAGGTGCTGGAGTTCCACCTGCTGCCCATAGAGAAGGTGGGTTTTCTACTGGTCCTGGATCCGTGGAGCTTTTATCAGACTGGTTCCTTAGGTCGGTCTCCTGTTCAGGTGAAGGAGCTGCTGGCCAGCGATGACTTCAAACCCAACTCTGCCATGGTGGTCCTAGACTTCCTCATCAGACACGCCTTCATCGAGCCAGACTCCGGTTTGTGGCACAAATCCATCCGTCCAGTTGGTGATTAGCAAAAGGAAACTTTTTATTTCTTTTCCAGAAGCGTTCTATCAGGAGTTGGTGTCGGGGCTCCACCAGACCTTATGAACAGCAGGAGCTTCACGTGATGCTGCTGGAGGAGGTGGACCTGGAAACCCGGGAGACTCCAGGCCCGGAGTTGTGGCTCACACGGTGACCAGTTTTTAACCCAGTTCCACTCGTCGCTCTCTCTCTGTAGCTCTATTCAACCGACGAGGTCAGCTTGGAGAACGGGAGGTTCTACTGGGTTCTTGTTTACATCTTCTGTCTTCATTTATTATTTTATTTGTGTTTTTATGCCAAACAACCAGATTCTAATGAGACTTTCAGAACGGTATTTTCTCTGCTACTGACTTTTGGAATCGGTGAGGTTCAAGATGGCTGCCATAGACACACACACACACAGTCCCTTCTCTTTGGATCACATTAAAAATGTTTGTTTCTGCTGTTTAGTTATTTTAGATTTCACTGTTATCTGTTCTATTTTGAATCAAAACTTTATTGAACTAAGTAGTAGGTATACAAACAAACTGTGGCAGCACTACAGAAATGTTACATTCAAGTTATTGTAGTGAAAATAGTGAAATAATCTTTAAAGCTTTTTATTTAGTGATCCAATTTTATGTAAGATGGTGTTTAAAATTAGGTTTTCGGTTACTATGCTTGCATTTGTGGAGATGGGGTTCAGAATAAATAACACATTAAATGCTCTTTGATGTTTGTCTGCCCTCTGGTGGAGAATGCCGGTACTACGTCCGACAAGCGCTCATTTTCACTTTTATCTAATTACATAAAACATTAATGTGTATTTATTGTGGTAACTACTCAGTAATTTAGTTAACATTTTTGATTACTTTGAGTTTTTATTAAAATAAAATGTTTCCCATCTTGGATTTTCTTGGGAGTCGTTGGGATGAGACGAGATGTGAGGGACTGTTGGTGAGCAGCTGAATAAATCTAATAATTATCTTTATAACAGGAGCCTCTTGTCAGTTTGTTTCATCATTAAAGCTAAATCTTCATCTTCGTTGGTGGGTTTTTTCATTTCTTTCCTGAAGCTTAAAGGTTTAATAATCTAATTAAAAGCTTCATTTAAGGGTTAAGCTTCATAACTAGATATTAATGATATGTTTTATTTTATTGTAGTCTCGGTCAGGAGCCAAACCACTGGTAACGCTTTAGTTTAGGGAACACAAATTAACCATGAATTAGCTGCCAATTAATATGCATATTAGAGGACTGCTATGTCTGAACTAGTCATTATTAAGCACTTATTAACAGCTTATTACTAATACCGTAATTCTCACATTAACAGGCCATAAATTAAGTTTTATCTAAATAAGCCATTCATAATGGTTTGTTAAGTGAAAGTTAACGGTTGCTTGCTGATTAGCATACATGCTAATTAGCTCAAATCAATATGTGGCTTTTAAAGAAGTGATTCAAGGGGAACACATTCTTGCCTTTAAGTGGTTCATTAATACTAAACTACTAGTAATTAGGGATGAACTAATGGGACTTTAGAATGGGGAACAGATTCTTGCTTACAAGTGGCTGATTGTTGTTTAGGCTCTATTAACATGTGGAGTTTGGTGTTTATTTACATAACACCGCAACATAATATTTTTGGTTATTAACTATTCCCGTTGAATTACTTCTTTATAAGCCACATACTGATTAGTATGTGTGTTAATCAGCAACAAACCGTTAACTCTCAGTTAACCATTATAAACGGCTTACGGGCGACGGTGGCACAGGAGTTAAGCGCTCGCCCCATAATCAGAAGGTTGCAGGTACGAGCCCCGCTCAGTCTGTCGCTGTGTCCTTGGGCAAGACACTTAACCCACGTTGGCTGCTGGTGGTGGTCGGAGGGACCGGTGGCGCCAGTGCTCGGCAGCCTCGCCTCTGTCGGTGCGCCCCAGGGCAGCTGTGGCTACATCGTAGCTCATCCCCACCAGTGTGTGAATGGGTGAATGAGTGATTGTGTTGTAAAGCGCCTTGGGGGGTTGCAGCTATATCAAATACAGGCCATTTACCATATTGTGAAAAAACTCAATTTATGGCCTGTTAATGTTAGAATGACGGCATTAGTAATAAGTGCTTAATAATAACTTAATAATGACTAAGTCAGACTTAGCAGTCCACTAATAAGCATATTATATGGCAGCTAATTAATGGTTAATTTGTGTTCCCTAAACTAACGTGTTACCAAACCGCTCGGATCCGCCTGTTCTGGGGAACTTTGGGGTCATTTAGACTTTCAGACTGAACAGTGACACGAAGACTCGACGTTTTATTTGAATTTATTTTCTTTAGAATACATGAAAAACTGCAGAAATCTCAAGAAAAGTTTGTATATAAAAGAGCATTTCTCTTACAAATCCTTTAGGAGCCGCTTGCATCTCACACTTCGCCGCCACTGACCTAATTTTTTATTTATTTTTTTAATATTTGTGCAAATAAAACAAGAGAAGCCAGCAGAATAGCGCATCAGGTAACAGGAAGAGAGGAGGGGCTAACCTAGCAGACAGGATTGAGGGTTTAAATCAGACGTTGATTTTATATAAGAGCAGAATGAAAACAGCTGCTTCCACTAATTCAGTCTCACGTTCCTTCAGACACGAGGAACCCAAACCGGTTCTACGTTTAAACACTTCCTGTTTGCCTTTCGTTACAGAAACAGAACAATCAGACACAATCGTGACGCTTTACTGTAGAAACAAACATTTAACTGAATTTGTGAAAAAAGCAGAAAACACGGAGGCGTCTTTTAAAGACCCGCCTGCCTCAGGCAGAACCCACTTCTGGTTCTGGAGGTAAAGTAAGGCCCGTTTACCGTCTGATTCATGTAAAATACTCGTTTCATTATTAAAATCCACGCGTTTATGGTTGAAAAGAGCTCAGCTGATCGCTGTTGGTTCCCTTTTATACGTGTCCAGTAAGAACAGCTCATCTTTGCCTTTTCATGGAAACGCGTCACATCGGGACTCGAGGAAATCCCGTCACAGGCGAGGTGTTTAGGGGTGGTCCGTAAATCTGAGCTGCAGGGGATAACCCTGATGAGTGAGAAAGGCTCCAGTGGTAGAACCGCTCCTGATCCAGCCCTCTTCTCATGATCTTCAGGTTCTGGATCAGGACTTATATTTTTGTTCTAGGCCGTCCGGCTCCTGGCAAGAACAGGAACGAGGAACTTTAGCACATGGAAACTTAACATCCTGTATTTTTAGGATGTTTTCTAAACCAGCTTATTTGATTTGTTCTGACGGGCTTCATGATCTGATTTACAGGGAATCGGGTTTGTTTGGAGAACCGGGTCAGACCCGATCAGTGGGAAAAGCTGTGATGGTTTCAACCATAACGTTGTTTTTCTGTTACTTTTTTAAATCTTAGAACGTTTATCCTGAACTCGGAATCTTCCCTTTTCCTTTAGCCTGCTCGTCCGTCACGCGGACTGGAAATCTGCCCGCTGTGGCGGCAGAGCAGGAGGAATGTTTGGCGCCCCCACCCCGCCATCAGGACCTCTATAGGAGGGTGCAGCCGGGCTTCTTGTTTCGTTTCTTGGACTGCAGCGCCGCTCTGGTGGCCATCTCGAACACCTCCCTCACGCCGTCGTTTGCCTTGGCCGAGCACTCCAGGTATCCGAAGGCGTTGATCCGGTTAGCCATGTCCCTGGCCTCCTCGGACTTCACCGGTTCCTGTCGGGGTCAAACGGGACATTAAATTCCTGACGAAGGGACTTAATGTTTAGGTTTGAAATTTCAGGGGCGAACTTTCCCCAGGAAATGTACTAAATCACAAAATATTATTCCTGAAGTACAAAATTTGACAGTTTTATGTTTAATTAAAGAAATGATCCGTTATCGGATTTTTTTTTTCAATCTTGGAAATGTTGCGATCTTTTTCTACCGCTGGTTCTCGTCCGCCTTCGTGCAGAACGAAGCATCGAGACTCGTTTAAAAATCCAGAGTCTTTCTGCTCATCCCGAAGCTAAAATCTCACTAATGGGTTCTAAGATGTTCTGGCGGGCTTCACCGACGTGAGCTCGTTTCTCCATTTAAAAAATGAATCTAAATTAGAAATTCCATAAGGATCCGGTCCCAGTGTGGCAGGAAGCGTCTGGAATCCAGAGCATGTAACCCGAGCGTGTCCAAACACGCTCCCCAGCAGCCAGGCGTCCCTCACCTGTTTCATCTTGGCTAACTCCCTGCGAGTGTGTTCGTCGTTCCGCAGATCCTTCTTGTTCCCCACAAGGATGATGGGCACGTTGGGACAGAAGTGCTTCACTTCTGGAGTCCATTTTTCTGGAATATTCTCTGTATCAGATGGGAGGAGGGTGTTAGGAACACGGCGCTGAGAGGAAAAGCATCTGGAAAGCTAAAGCGGAGGTAATCCCACCTAAGCTGTCAGGGCTGTCGATAGAGAAACACATGAGGATGACGTCGGTGTCGGGATAGGAGAGGGGCCTCAGCCGGTCGTAGTCCTCCTGACCTGCAGTGTCCCACAGAGCCAGCTCCACCTGAAACAGCACACGGTGCTCCAGATTTAATCCCGGTCCCAAACCCGGAGACTCAAACAAACACAGAGACGTTTCGACCGCTCACCTGTTTACCATCCACCTCAATATCCGCCACATAGTTCTCAAAGACGGTGGGAACGTAGACCTCTGGGAACTGGTCTTTGCTGAACAATATGAGGAGACACGTCTTCCCACAAGCTCCATCACCGACGATCACCAGTTTCTTCCTGATCGCAGCCATCTGAACAAGCAGAGCTCATTAAAATCACACGCTTTTACACCCAGATCTAAGATTTTGCTCTGCAGGTCAGTCTAGCTTCACTTCACGGGAGCCTCAGCAGGTCTGCTATTGGCTCGGCTAAGCTTAGGCTCAGCCAATCACAGCGCTTTGTACAGACATGTTGAGCAAGCTTAGCACCAATACGACAGGTGTTTTTTTTTTTCCTTTTACGAGGACAGCAGAGCTGCAACTAAACAAAACAACAAAGATGGCGTCAGCTCAGGAACGCCGCTCGTTTGAAACGACTTTGGACGGTTTCGGCTTTTCTTTGAGACGAGCAGACAGAAGCACTTCTCCCTTTTCTTCTTCAACGCTCTATGGCGGACTGCCCTGTTGGCTGACTTCTGTAGCGACGGATTAGAGGTCAACCGATACGGTTTTTTCTATCGCCGATAGGTAAACGCCACGGTCAGCCGATGGCTAATTTGTGCTGCCAATATTTGGGTTTCACGGTCGGCATCCAGACGTTTTCCACTTCATTTTCATGCTAAAACGTCACTAATAGCATCAGCTGATTCACGAAACTTCTGAGACCGAAGTCGTTTCTGAACTCCGACCTTAACCTGCCGTTAAATCTTAATTTTGTGCACCGCTCGTTGTTAAAATCAGACATCTAACTAAAGACAAACTGACCAAGTATTAAATATTCACAACTGATCATTATAAGATTTTTTAGAGCATTTAATAAGTGATAAAAATATACATTTATATAAAATTCTGCAGCAGCACCAGGGTGCCGGGATGTGCTTGACTTTAAGTCAGATTTACTAGGGAGGTATTTATCGATTGATGCCAATTAGGGCTGCACGATATTAGGAAACCTGCGATATTAGATGAGTGATTAATATTGCGATGACGATATATTTACGATATATTATGCAGCCCTAATGCCAATATATAAAAAATGGTAAATATTGGCCAGAAAACCTTTATTTTAGACAGGTGAGATCGACAGGTGGATTGGTGCCGCGTCTGCAGTGATGCGGCCGTTGTACCGGTCTGTCGTGGTGAAGAGAGAGCTGAGTCACTTTACCGATCAATCTACGTTCCAACCCTCACCTATGGTCACGAGCTTTGGGTAGCGACTGTACGAACGAGATCGCGGATACAAGCGGCTGAAATGAGTTTTCTCCGAAGAGTGGCTGGGCTCTCCCTTAGAGACAGGGTGAGAAGCTCGGACATCTGGGAGGGGCTCGGAGTAGACCCGCTGCTCCTCCACATTGAGAGGAGCCAGTTGAGGTGGCTCAGGTATCTGGTTAGGATTCCTGGACGCCTACCTGGTAAGATTTCCCGGGCACGTCCAACCAGGAAAATGCCTACAGGAAGACCCAAGACACACTAAAGGGACTGTGTCTCACGGCTGGCCAGGGAACGCCTCGGGATTCCCCCGGAGGAGCTGGCTCAAGTGGCTGGGGAGAGGGAAGTCCGGGCCTCTCTGCTTAGGCTGCTGCCCCCGCGACCCGACCTCGGATTAGCGGGAGAAAATGGATGGATTTTAATTTTTTTATGGCAACTTTACATACCATACACATATTATACATCAAACTATTCAGCTACTTCACTCAAAATGTCAAAATATGACAGAGCCAAAGTATTTTGGACAAATCTCTTTGATCTTTAAGTCTGAGATATTTTTGCTTGTTTAGCACAGCTGGCCTAGCATAAAGTGAAGTGGTTGTCCTGTTTTGAGCAGATACGTATGCTAGATGGGACATGTAAGGTTAGCTACCTCAAATTATTTAGTTGGTTTTGTTATGAGGGGGTCCTGAATATACTGGTATCACAAATTAAGAGTTGGACCAGATCAGTACATTGGTAAAAAAAAAGCCGATATGGAGCATCGCTGTAGAGAAACATGACTTTACCACTACGATGAAAACATTTCTCGTCTTTTATTGGTCATCTATGATCCATTGTGACATTTTTCTTCCCGTAAAAGTTGAGGGAAAAATAAACTATGCTGAAACTAAACATAATGCTGTCATTTATGATTTAAAAGTTCTCAAAAGGCCTCGATCCTTATTTACTTAATACCAGATGTGACTTTTTCTAACAACAGCTTTCTATGTGTAGGAACGTTTTTGTTTCGATTCCAATCGATCATTTAATGATGACTACACAAATACCGTATTTTCCGGACAATAAGTCGCACTTTTTTTTCACAGTCTGGCCGTCCTGCGACTTATACTCCGGAGCGACTTATATACCAAATTATGTAGGCTACACCGCGCTGCTGCGGGCCGGCTCCGGACCAGGAATGAGCTCCCCTGCCCTGCTGGGAATAAAAACCACACAGCCATCACCTGCTGGAGCCTGTTACGCACTGGATCCGGCCCAGGTTTCCGCTCCTCTGCCCCGCCCATCACCTGCTGCTGCGGGCCAGATCCGACCCAGGAATGAGCTCCCCTGTCCCGCTGGGAGGGTTTCAAACACCGCCATCCTCTGCTGGAGACCGTGGCGTGCTGCTGCACCCGCATTGTTTATTATTATTGTTACCGGTACTTGTCTTGCAATGTGAAACGCTTGGTCTCAGATTTTGTAAGAAAAATAATCAAATTTCCCCCCAAAATGCGACTTATATATGTTTTTTCTTCTTCATTATACATTTTATGGCTGGTGCGACTCCTACTCCGGAGCGACTTCTACTCCAGAAAATACGGTACATGAATAAATATGTGCACTAGAGTTCATGAATGTGCTGCATACAAGTAAAAAAAATTGCAGAAAACAATTAAAACTGTTCAGAAATTTCTCCTAATATATTAGAACGATTTAAAATGATGAGGAACTGAGAGACTAATGTTTTATCTTCTAATTAAAATCACCACAGGCAAATTTATGTGTGCAGGAACTGTTCTCTTCATGCTGAGGTTTGAGCAGGAAAACAGAATAAACCACCCTGCCCTTGTGTCGATTTAAACAAAGTATCTCAGTGTTAGTCACAAGGAGCCATGTGTGGCACCAGAGCTACGGGTCCCTGCTTGTGTCAAAACTAAAACAGGCCAACCCTGGAAGTTCGGGAGTGAGTGAGGCATGATTACATCTCCTGTGATTTCCGAGCATAATGACGTTTTCTAACTGAGAGAAAACAAATGGTATGGGCCGAGGATTTCCTCATAGCTCCCATTAGTAGTGTTTGGTAACAGGGGTGTCGCAACTTCCTGTCTCCTCCCGTCTTCCTGCCTCGTCGCTAACTGGAGGCTCACGCTACAGACCGCCAGCATCAACACGATGCAAAGGGCTGTGCTGGTGCCAAAACCACCACAAAACTGACGAAGCTGGATCATGAAAGGTCAACTGGGTCATGAATTCACAGGTTCCTAGTTTATCACACAATAATACACCACATTTATGACAACTAGGAGGTTTTTGAGCAAAAGGCTGACAGGAAGTGCCACGTCAAGCTCCAATCCCTCCCAATCACCCAAAATGTCTTACCATATTTTGTGTTCTTGTCTAAAAATGCTCAGAAATTTGAAGAAATTTTGAAGTTGAGAAATAAAATGAAAGTGACATGCATTACAAATGGATTGCCTTGAGATCCAGTCCAGTTTGGTTTTAGACCTTCAGAAATCCAAGAGAATTGCTGTTCAAACCCACTCTTACAGCACATTCTGGTTCTTTAGAGGCAACATTTTTAAAAAGGATGGATCAAGAGTTTTGAAAAGGTCTGAGAACTGTATTACAAATAATCATGGCTCTGCTCATTTAGATCAACAAATAAACCCCCAATGACAAAAACTCTCAAGGCACATGTAACAGGAGATAACAGGTTTTTATACTACTATACAAGTTATCTTCCATGAAGTAAATATTTACTACCTGGGTTTCATATGAGTATTAATTTGAACATATTTCTATACAACTGTATACTAGTTGTAAATGGAAATAAGGTTTTTATTAGCTTATATGTTAAATTAATCCAAATAGTCCAACTTTTAAACCTTTGGATTAAAGCCAGCCCTCCTTACAAGAACTATTAAACTTTTGCTGAAGGAACTGGGCTGCAGTTGCGCTTTCAACACTTTTCTCCCAACAATAAAAACAGGATTAAACCTTTAGGCTCAGCTTTCTGGCCTAACGGTCAATTTCCTACATTTACGTTTAATTACGGTTTCGTCACTCGCTTGTTCAACTTTGCTTTGAAGGAAAACTGTAACAGTCGGGTACATTTCACTAAAAAGTTACACATAACCTAATTTTACTTATATTTGCGTCTACGAGACAGTTTGTTTTGTCTCACGGAAGTGTCGGCTAACTTGGCCTAGCCCATGGAAAGAAGCTAACATTAGCTTGCTAACGTCGCTGAGTTTTTAAGGGAAACGGGCCGTTTTGATGAGTCCAAACAACTTAGTTTAGTCTCGTCTGACTACAAAGGTTTCACTAATAGTTAAAGAGGTAACGTAAATAATCTAACGAGTCTCTAGCGGAGAATTTCATCGTTAAAAAGAGACATACTCGCCTTTCCTTACTTTTCCTGTTGGACTCAATAGCCCCGCCCAGCCCAGGAGAGTGCGTCAAGGAGTAACCCGCCCACAAGCCACACTTTCAGCCAATAGAATACAGGAAAGTTATGACTGAAAGATCCATCTGCCAATCAAAAGAAATAATAACTTTTACAGGGTTATTGTCATTGAATGCAGTAAAATTGTGTACTCGCTTTCTTCCTCTCGCCCAAAATAAAGGCTTGCTGGCTGATTTATTTATTCATTCACTGTTATTTCCTAGACATTTGTCGACTGTCCATATTACAGTACACTAAAAAATAAGCATGTCTAAACTTGACATGACAGCATCTGTAATGAAATATTGTCATCAACTGCATCATATATGACCCTGCATACAAGGCAGACTATTGTTTGAATGCAAACTATAGTGATCCTGTTTCTCCTTATAGTTAGTTAGTTAGTTAGTTAGTTAGTTAGTTAGTTAGTTAGTTAGTTAGTTAGTTAGTTAGTTAGTTAGTTAGTTAGTCTGCTTCCGTACATTTTTTGGCATTTAACTACTTCCACAATTCTTCAACTATTTACACAATTTCGGTATCAAAACGTTCAGCTCGTTCAGCTTATCCCAGCAATGACTTTTGGTATTAGAATATTTAATACTTTTTTAGATATTCAGCTTTTTCTGCGATTTTTGGTCTCATTGAAATGAATGGGATTGCTCAATTTTCAGCTAAATCCTATCACTTTTTTGAACTCTTATAGGTTAACTTCAACCTAGAGACTTCATTCAAGTTTCAACAAACTCACAACACTTTCAGCTATTACTGGTTAAAAAATCTTTTTGATGTCTATTACAGTTTTTCTAAAACACAGGTAGAAGTTGAGGTACGGCTTGAGATTTTCAGAAAAAATCTCAAAAATCATAATGGGCAGAGATAGGAGCAGTGACCCTCCTTTGCTCCATTTCCGACATTGTCCTGAGAAAACAGTAAGTCCGATTGAAATGAGACGCACGCTGGCTTGCAGCTAACGGATATACCTTCGTTTTGAGCTATAAATCATGAATGTACTCCAAACATTGTGGTCGTACGGTTCATTTGTTTGAGAATATTTAAATAAATAAAAAATGTCTCCCCACTCTAAACTGAAAATTCCACACCGTAACTTTTGACCTTCACGTTTTCTGGAAACAACTCATTCCAACGCCCAGACCGTTTGGAGTACCGAAACAAATTATATCTCAAAAAGTAGGAATTTCTGTCAGCTTTTCAGAATGGGTTTTGTTTTATCTGTAAGTGTTACCGCTGCCTGATTGGCTGAGAGAGGTCAATCATCTTCTGGCTAAATGGACTTTCACACCCACACATGTGAGACATCAAATCGATCGGCTTGGCCTAAGGAATTCATCCATCCACATATAAATCCATCCATGCTTCTATCCATCCAATAAACCATCTAACATCGATCCAACAATCCATCTGTCATTTCATTCATCCAACCATTCATCCATCCCATATCAAGTCTGCACATGTTTATCTATCAGTTTCAGATACAAGCAAATGTTTTTAAATTCACAGCTCAGCCAATTGTAAAAATGTACCTATTAAATTATTCTCATTCAAATGCCAGCTGTTTAACATTTCAAATTTTGAGTTTTTTATTCAATGTTCAAAGATTAAAGTTTTCTGCTGTTTGGCATTTTTTGTCCATGCTTCACCTTTATTCTACACTTGTTGGTGATTTTTTGCTTCTAAATCCTTAAATACATTCAGCTCATTTTGACAGTTTAGCTTAGTTTCAGCTTCACTTCAGCTATTCAGCAGCTTCAGCAATCAGTTTCTGAATTTAGCATAGCGCCTTGGGCTTCCTGACAGGGTTGCGGAAGGCGCTTTATAAATAAAGCTTTGATTGATTGATTGATTGATTGAACTGCTAATTTCACAGTTCAGCTAAATGTAAATATTAAACTGTTAAACTAGTCCTACTGAAATAACAGGTGTTTAGACATTTTAGCTGCCCAGTTTTTAAACAATTTTCACAGATTTCAGTTTTCTGCTGTTTAGGATTATTTTTCTCTATTATTCACTTACTTTTTGTGCTTTATTTGGTTGTTGCTGCTTTTTGCTTCTACATCTGTCAATACATTCAGCTCATTTTGACAGTTTTGCTTCAGCTTCAGTTCAGCTGTTCAGCAGCTTCAGCTAACAGTTTCAGCCATCCAGCATTCAAACAGCATCTAGTTTATTAATATGACTGGCTAAATATCTTCTTTTTCTTTCTTTCCCTTTTCTTTTCTAAGCAGTGGAAGCCCATTCCTGGCACTCAGATAAAAAATATCCCAATTATGACTTTGTATCTCATAATTATATCAGATCAAAGCTGGACCATGTGAGTCATACCCCCTGCAGGATGCCCCATCTGCTCTGAAGAGCAGCTTCAAGCTGATCCATCCTCGCTGTGTGAAGGAGACATAGTAGGTCTTTCCTACCTGCCACTGTTAAAAAAAAAATGCATTGAACTTATATAGCGCTTTTCTAGACCCCCAAAGACGCTTTCCACACACTCTCACATTCACACACTGCTACTGATGGTAAGCTACTTGTAGCCACAGCCGCCCTGGGGAGGTCTGACAGAGGCGAGGCTGCCATTTGGCGCCGTCGGCCCCTCTGACCACCACTAACACAGGCAAGTTGGGTGAAGTGTCTTGCCCAAGGACACAACAGCGGAATATCTCTGGCGGGAGCTGGAATCAAACCCATGACCCTCCGATCATGAGGCAACCCGCTCTACAACCTGAGCTACTGCTGCCCCTGTTAGACTCTATAATGGTCAATACTAATGCGGAACCAATACATCTGTAACATTCCACAACTAATATTATCACCGACATGTGCAATATTACTGCTACTATAGTTATTATGTGAATAACTGGTGCTGATGTCTCTGTGATAGAAAATTACAGGCCTATCTCTACCCTGCCTTTTACATCAAAACTGCTTGAGAAAGTCGTTTATCAGCAGCTGGTCTCACATTTAGCTGACTCTGATCTGTTTGAGGTTTTCCAATCAGGGTTCAGGTCTGGCCATAGCACAGAGTCGGCTCTACTGAGGGTCCTAAATGACATCTATCTATCACTACATCAGGGAACATCTGTGGTGCTTCTGTTGTTAGACCTGACGGCAGCCTTTGACACAGTTGACCACGCGATTCTACTGGATTGCTTGGAACGATGGGTTGGGATCAAAGGGTCAGCTCTGGATTGGTTTAGATCGTATCTCCAAAACCGGACATTCTGTGTTAAACTGGGTGATGTTTTTTCTTCTTGGGAGGGGCTCCGCTGGGGGTCCCGCAGGGATCGATCCTTGGTCCTCTTTTGTTTGCCATTTATCTGCTACCTCTGGGGTCAATCTTTCGTAAACTTGGCCTATCATTCCATCTGTATGCTGACGATTGCCAGATTTACTCTCCATTGTGTCAGGAGAAAGGTCACTCTATCCAGTCCTTTGTGTCCTGCATTAATGAGGTGAAGTCTTGGCTAATTGCCAACGTTCTGCATCTGAATGAGGGAAAGACAGAGCTCATTGTTTTTCACCCCAACACCAGGAATGTGGATCGGCATGTTGATCTTTGCCCTCTTTCTCCCTACTCAAAACCAGTTGTGACCAGTTTGGGGGTGAAAATTGATGCTGGACTTAAATTTGATGCTCACATCAATTCTGTGATCCGGTCCAGTTTCTTTCACCTGAGACGCCTTGCAAAAATCAAGCCTATGCTGTCAAGAGCCCACCTGGAGCGGGTACTCCATGCTTTTGTAATTTCTAGGCTTGACTACTGCAGCTCTCTATATGCAGGGTTGTGTCAGTCATCACTGCGTCGCCTACAGGTTGTGCAGAACAGCGCAGCAAGGTTCCTGACTGGGACCAGGAAACGGGACCACATCAGTCCAGTTCTGGCCTCCCTGCACTGGCTTCCGGTTTGCTATCATTCACACTTAAAACTCCTCGTCTTTGTCTTTAATTTCTTCCAGGGTTGTGCTCCCCCCTATCTGGCAACTCTCCTGAACAGACACTCCCCATCACGCGCTCTGCGCTCCTCTGACCAAGGCCTGCTCGCTGTCCCTCGTTCTAGGTGTCGTACTCGCGGGGATCGGGCTTTCTCAGTCCTAGCACCGTCACTCTGGAACCAGTTGCCACCCTCAGTTAGGCTGTCCCCATCTCTGCCAGTCTTTAAGAGTCACCTAAAAACACACCTCCTCCGCTTGGCGTTTCCAGGACATGTTTGATTTTGGCCCTCTTTTATGTTGAATTAATTTCATAGTTTTCATTGGTTCACTCTATCCCTTGTTTTACACATTTGTCCTGTACTAGAATGTTTCATCTTTTTTGTAATTTGTAATCTGTAATTTGAATTGCTTTTATTTTCTGATTTATTCACTATATTTTTCTACTGTTCCATGTTATATACGTACATATATATATATATATATATATATATATATATATATATATATATATATATATATATATATATATATATATATATATACACACACACACACACACACACATACAGCCATTTTCACCTTAACATGACTTGGGGAACACAGCGGTTGCTTGCATCAAGATAATGAAATGATAATAAGTTTATGATCTCAGTGGCCTTATAGTAGTGTCCACCCTGAGACTGGGAGATCAGGGTTCAGATCCTGGTCTAGTCATACCAAGGACTTTTAAAAAATGGTAGAGGTCCCAGCACAGAACCTTGTGGGACACCATGGGTGAGGGATGTGGTGGAGGACCAAAACTTGGAGACGGCCACAGGGAAGGAACACTCAGCAAGATAAGAGGAGAACCACTCCAGGGCAGTTCCTGATAGGCCGACCCAGTCTCTCAGCCTCTCCAGCATCAGGTGATGGTCATCAGTGTCAAAGGCTGCAGTCAGGTCCAGCAGGACCAGAACAGAACAGTCCCCTGCATCCCTGTGGGTCAGAGACCCTAAGAGCTGTTTCAGTAGAATGAGCTCTACGAAAACCTGACTGGAAACTAGATCATATGTTTATCGAGAGCAGTGGGAGTTGTTTAGCCCTGACATTTTCCAAGATCTTGGAGATGAATGGAAGTTTAAAAATGGGTCTGAAGATGCTATGGAGAGAGGGGTCAAGTCTCTGTTTTTTAAGAAGCAGGTGGATTACAGCGTTCTTAAAGTGAGCAGGGACCTGACCAGAAACCAGAGAAGCGTAACCCTCTGGAGGCAGGTTAAAACCTACCTACCTGGTTACTCCACACACGTATTTCATGAGCATTTTTAAACTCAGAAGTACCCCTGAAGGACTTAGTTGTTCGTCCTTTTATCAAAACTTATTTTGAGCTTGAGAGGGCTAATTATAGAGAGCATGATGGGACTGATGGACTGAAAAGCATTTATGAACAAAGATGAGGCTAAGATGCAGAGGGGGGATGCAGAGGTCTTCATAGAGTTAACTAGTTAGGTTAACTCAGCACAAAAAAACTAGTTATGCTGGGATTTTAAAGACAAATGATAATAAATACACGTGTTTTGTGTCTTTTTGTACAATAGTATAAATGCTCTAATGCAAGTTTACTCAACTGTTAAAAATTTGAGTTTAGTCGTATTGTTTTGTTTTCAAAGTGAATAAAGTTTTGGACGGGAAACAGAAGCATCTTGAACCTGATTGGGTCCTGCTTCTCTCCAGGCCGCGGTTGTAAAAGTAGGATTTTTTTTTTGCCCTCTCTGGTTAAATAACAGGTAATGAACGCCGACATATAAAGAAATGCCAAACAAATAAATATAGCATAAATTTTAGCCTCCGCTAACTCTGATCTCAGACTGAGATGTTCCGTAACACGTGGCTTGTTATCAGCCAATAAGCGTTGAGCTGATGACCAGCACGTCAGCTATTGGATGCATTTAAACGAACGCGATTTAAACAGAGAAAACTCTGCGGCGGACGGCGGTTGTAGTGTTGTTCGGTGGAGTTTGTGGAGAAGACGTGTTTGGTGAGTCTCGGTGACTTTTGTGTTGTCCTTCCAACACATTCAGCCATTTCAAACCTGTGAGTATGCAGATAAAACAGGCGGCCGTTGAGCTAGTTTGACCCTCGCTAGGCGGGTTTTCACAGGAAGAGGCGCTAACGTTAGCGCACCCGTCCATTCCTTTCTTTGAGCTTTTGTCGGATGATGCCTCGCCTCTTGGTTTTGGCGTCTTCGTGATATTTTATTTGTATATTTTAGATAAGCATCAAGTGAAACGGAACCGGGTTAATGATGGCGGACAACGACGCAGGCGAAGCCGCTGGTACCTACGAGTTCGACGCTCCGTGCCACGCCGTGGACTTCAAGGAGCTGCTGGAGGCCGAAACGGACGAGAGCTGGTTCGGTAAGGTTTCCTTTGAGCTTCACTCGCTGCAGCTTTCCACCTGAGCTGCAGAATAAAACCCGGCGCTCTGCGTCTAACGGGGTGTTATTGGTGAGGTTTTGACCCATTTTGGATCCTCGCTGCTGTATACGGAAGTCTGGTGGTCCAGGTGTTTGTAGAAGGGGACATCTTTGTTTCCAGGCCGGGTTTGGGTCGAGGATCACATCTTTAGGCTCAGATGATGATGATGACCTGTAAATAGGCATTTGGACCTGAGACCTCGTTTGTCATCCACACGCCTGCTTTTAGAAATGTTTGACACATTAAACACTTTAAAGTTGGACCAGTAGTAAAATCAGCCCAAGCATGCTGGTTCTGATTTTTAGGACTAGTTATTGCACCTGATTCTGATTCATCTTTTTATTTTTAACATTTCAGGATTAACATGAGAGACCGTAAATAAGAGCTGCTGGGTTTAACTACTCCAGCGGTGTCAGATAACTGGCTTTAATGTGAAAGGTCTCTGATTCTAGAAAAGCGAGGATATAAACTCATTTATTTCTGTTGTCAAATTAAACATTTTGCTTTTTGACAACAATCGAGTTTAGCTGCTGTAATGTAACCTGATCCAAACAGCACCTCAAAGCAAGTTCTCACTGAAACCACAATAATGGCCGACGTTTTCTTGGCTTGTTTTTGGAAACGCATCGTTTGAAAACAGAGACTTGAATGTGACTTACTCTTTTTACGTCCGAGTAGAACGACGTGCTGAGGGAGCAGATCCTCACCTCGTCACCCCTCTGAGAAGCTCCGCGATGCGGGTCGAGAAACCTAAACGTGGTGAGAAAAGTGGGACCCACTCTCTTCACACCCAGAAGGAAATGGTGTCAGGTCAGTCTCGTCTTTTGTATAAAAACTTATTTTATTGTACTTTTAATGAAACTGTGTGAGTGAAATATTTTCTCAGGTCAAAACGCGTCTGCATCTCCACCTTCGAACATGGTGACATCGTGGGGAGAAGAGCGCCAGAGGGTCGTTCGACCGAAGAGGTCCGGTATCCCTGGCCAGCCGCGCAGGTAGCGGCTGCTCTCAGCAGATTACAGGGGTGTTCCTAATCTGCAGTCCTGAACTAGACTAGATCCGTTTGATTCGTTTCAGGGTTTCGAAGCGTAAAGGGACCTCGGGTTCATCAGAACCTCCATTGAAGAAGCAGAAAGAGTTGAGTTGACTTCATTAATTAAACAATGGCGGGTTCTGCTGGGAGCAGGTTATCTGCATACGTCTGCAGATGTCACCAGCGTTTGATTTTCACACCTCCAATCTCTGCTGCAGGATCCCTGCTGCACCCAAGCCCAGAGGCGGGAAGCCCGGTTCCCGCAGCAGCGAGCGGTGGAGCTCCAAGAAGTCTTGTAAGGCCCCTGAAGCCACTTCCGCTGCTCCAGAGTGAGTCCTTCACTGCTCCCACCGGTGGAACCGGTGCAGCTGCTCACCCGCCGAACCTGAAACGTCTTTGGTTCTTTCTGGCCGTTTACTGGTCCATTTTAACCCGGCTGAAGATTTGGTTTGAATCCTGTTTCTGTTGAATCATTCCCGTTTTAGTTTAGCTCAGACATTGGAGAACGATCTGGGAATGACATCGGATCAGGTGGGATGTCATTCCCAACTCCAGGATTTGTCATTTCTGTTTTTGGCTAAGACCGTCTGAGTTGAATCACTTCCGTGTTGGTTAAATGGCACGACTCTGCCCCCTGCTGTTGTCCGCGGGTAACTTCAGTCCACTCAGACGTTAGTCGTCGAGCCGTGTTGTATTTAAACAGTTGCGTGTTTTTGTTCTGGGCTGAAATGCAGCATAACGTTTAAACTGTGTCTGAGCAGGCCCGTTACCTCTGAGCAGTTGGAGATGGAGAGAATCAGAAGTCTCCAGAACGAAGTGGCTCAGCAGCGTCGGCGAAACGAGGCCAGCTACAAGGCTGCTCTGGCCGGCAGTGAGTGGCTCGGGTCCAGGAAATGTTTCTGAAGCGTGAATGAACCCGAGTGTCTGATGATCGCTGCCGTTTCAGGGCCACCGCCGAAGAAGCTGGTCCTGGCCAGCACCGTACCGCAGGACTTCGCCTTCAGCACCGACGCTCGTGTCAAGGCCTCCTCGAACCCGGTGCAGAAGGAGGTGGATTTTGTGCGGCAACTCCGGAAGCCCTCCTCCCCGGTAAGGCGCCCGGCCCGCCTCGCTTTCAGCCGAGTCTGTAAACTGCTGGTTTCATTTTATGTGCCGAGTTGTGCTTTCATCTTTACTGGGTCTGAAGATTTTACACAAGGCAGAAGATTTAAAACGTTTATGTTCATGCTGACGTCTTTAGGAGCTGGCTGTTGAGGTGAGAGGATGAAATCACAGATTTGGTGCAGAAAACTCACGAGATTCTTGCGTCGTCGTTTTTATGTTAAAGGCAAAAGCTCGGAGAGGCGCCACCATCCCCAAACCCTTCAACTTCTCAGGCGGTCACAAGAAAGTGCAGGAGCGTGAGGACTACGTACCGATGGCTCAGCAGGTGGAGCTGTTCCAGAGGCGGACTCCCACCCGGTACCACTTACGGAGCAGCAGGAGTCTGGAGAGAGGTGGGATGGGTTTGTAGAGCTGAATGGAACACCTCGTTGGTTTGGAGTAGGAACCAGGCCCACTGATGGGTTGTTGGTTGTTGTTTCAGGACCGTCTTCGGTGAAAAGCCAGCACCTGAAGCTCACGGAGCCTCACTCCCCCCACCTGATCACCCGCGAGCGAAGCCGACCGGTTCACGTGAAGAGCAGCGCCGAGCTGGAGGCTGAGGAGCTGGAAAAGATCCAGAAGTAAGAACCGCGTCTGCTCAGCTTGTGATGCTCTTGTTGCTTCTGGATGCTGACCAAGTCCTCCAAACACACCCACATCACCCCGCTTCTCCTCCAGCTTCACTGGCTGCCAGTCAACTTCAGGGTTCATTTCAAGATCCTGGTTCTGGTCTATAGGGCCTTACATGGACAAGCACCATCTTACATTGGTGATCTTCTTAGTCCCTACACCCCCAGCAGGTCCCTGAGGTCCAGTGATCAAAGCCTACTGGTTGTGCAGCACCAGGCTAAAGGTCAAAGGTGACAGATCATCTGCTGCTGTGGCCCCCAGACTCTGGACCTCTCTCCCCCTGAGCCTGAGATCAGTGGACTCAGTGGTCTCCTTTAAACTCACCTGTTCAGGTTTTGGTGTGACTCCATCACCTCCCTCTCCTTACTCCGCCTTTCCCGGGATCCACTGATTTCCCTCTTTCCTTACATTATTATGGTTTTATCACAAGTTATATTCCAGTTTTTTCTCATTTTAAACTTATTTTTAATCACTTTTTGAAATCTTTTCTATATTTTTTGTTTTTGCAAAGCGCCTCGTGATTTTCATCATTTTTCTCTCTCAGGGTTAAGATCAAACCTCTGGAGCTGAACAGGAAGATTCTGGAAGGTGCCGAGGAGCTGAGGAGGCCTGCGGTGAAGGAGCCCACTGTCGCTGAAGGCTTCCAGCTGGAGATCGAAAAACGGCTCCAGGAGAGGCAAATGACCAAGAACCCTCAACACGAGGAAGAACCCTACACCTTCAGGGCCAAGCCGCTTCCTAAGAAGGTTCTGGAGGAGGTCGTGGTGAGTGGACCTGGGCCTTGCTGGTTCTGGGAAGACTAGGTTTATTTTTAGTAAATCAGATATTTTCCTGTCAACAGGGAATCCCGCTGAAGAGTATCCCACCCCCAACTGTTCCGGAATCTCCGGCGTTCGCCCTGAAGAAAAGAGTTCGTTTGGACCGGAAGGTGGAGGAAGTAAGGAGATGCTGATCTGTCCCGTGGCTCGGCTCAAGTGTGTGTGTGTGTGTCGCTAACACGTCCAGGTTCTTTGGTTCTGTTCAGGTCAAACCTCCATCTCCTGTCAAAGCTCGGGTGGTGCCCCACTATGGCATCCCGTTTCAGCCGCGGCTCCCGGAGAACCACCACGTGGAAGTGTGTCCGTTCTCCTTTGAGCAGCGGGAGAAGGAACGCCAGGCCCTGAAGGAGAAAAAGCTGGAGAAGCTTCGAAACGAGCAGGTGGAGTGTCGTTGACTCGGAACCAGAACCGTGACTCGGAACCCAGGCGACTCACTTGGTTCTCCCGTGTTAGGTTCCACAGTTTAAGGCTCAGCTGCTGCCGGACTTCACGGCCGTGGTCCTGCCTGAGAAGAAGCCGCTGGAACCGACGAAGCCCGAGCCGTTCAAGCTGCTCCTAGACGAGCGAGGTTCTGTGAAGCACAGCCGCTGGGAGCAGATGGTACCGTTGAGTCCTCATCCGGTCCAGACAGGTGTTCAGGTTCTGATGCTTTGTGCTGATGGACCGTTTTGTCCTGCAGGTCAAAGACGAGCAGAAGCAACAAGAGGAGGCGGCCATGTTTAAGGCCCGGCCCAACACGGTCACCCATAAAGAACCGTTCAGGCCGAAGAAGGACGTCCAGCCAGGAATCGGTAAATGAGATGGTTCTAAACCCAGCAGACCTGGTACCATTTCAGGTTGAGCAGTTCTGGTTCCGAAACAAACCGGCTGGGTTTTCTGGTTTCAGGTTTAGACCTGGAACCAGAACCAGTCGGGTCAAAACAGAATCTGCCTGTTGCTGTTTTTGGGTTCTCAGGAGGCACTTTTAGTAGAACCATCTGAGATGGGTTCCTGGTCCAGGGCTGTCCAACCCCGGTCCCTGCAGGCCTGGATGGGTTCCTCGGTCCAACATACCTGAGCAGAAGACCTCCAGGACCAGGGTTGAACAGCTGTGTCCCAGAACCACTAGCAGAACCCTCCAGGTGGTTCCTGCGGCCTGAGAGCTCCTGCTTACCTCAGCTCGGCCGAGGAGCGCCGCAGCGTAGAGGCTGCGGCGCTCCTCGGCCGAGCGACGCGTCACTCACCTTGTTTCTGTTTTCACCGCCGTCCTCCTGGCCGCTCCTGAGAAGACATTGATTCCTCTACAGTGGTGGAGCCGTTCACGCTGGCGACGGAGCGGCGTGCCCAGGAGTGGCAGGAGTATGAGCGCCTGATCGCTGAGAAGGAGGCGCTCAGGGCGCGCATGGAGGCGGAGCAGAGACAGGAGGAGGAGCAGAAGCAGCGGGAGGAGATAGCCAGGCTGAGGCAGGAGCAGGTGAGGAGAGAGGTTTGTTTACGGATTCATCCAAACAACACGGAGGTTCAGCATCTGTTTGTTCCCCAGGTCCACAAGGCCCAGCCCATCAGACACTATAAACCGGTTCAGCTGAAGAAGTCGGAAATTCCTCTCACCGTTCCGGAGTCTCCCAACTTCTCCGACCGGTTCCGTTTGTGAGCAGCAGGAAAATATTGATCTGATTCCCTTTTTATTTTTGTTTTTATTGCCTTCTAGTCGTGAAAGAAAACTTTCTGAAGATTTAAATCGCTTTTTTAAAACTTACTTCTGAACTTTGTGTAAATTGTGTAAAAGTTTGTTTTTTAATAAACATGGATGGATGGTCGGATGCTTTTGGTTACTGATCACACACGCACACACACACACACACACAAACACAGTCCAGGTTCACCCGGACCAACAGGACGGTGTGCTGGTTTAAGAAAGTTTCACTGATAATTTCTGCTGTTTTCTCGGCTTGTTTTTGTTTTACTGTAACTTTTGGAGGATTGTTCAGGTTCAGCTCCACTTGTATTAAACCGATTTTTGAAGCAGAGGAAACTTGGATTTAGTTTGTTTTCCCACAACGTTCCATCAGAATTCTGCAGAGCTGCTGGTCTACGGAGGTGACGAGCTGTGTCACGCAGATCATCTGGAGTTAAGGCAGTGTGTGTGTGTGTGTGTGAGAGCAGAACAAAAATGATTTAAAAGATTTAATTTAGGATCCAAATGTTGACATTTAAAAGATTTTTAGCTTATTTTGCTTAGTTTTCACAGTAAAATCCGTTGAATTCAGTAGAGATCCTGTTTCAGGTCCAACAGGACAACTGGAAGAGTGAATATCCACATATAACGGTATCTGCAGGTCCTTAAATGTGCTTTTCCAAATTTAAGGCCTTAAAAATCCTTAAATGACAAATAATCCTTAAATCCAGTTTCCAAAGGTTTTAAATGACCAAAGACCCAATAAACAAGATTATTTTTATTTCAATTTTCATGAATTTCTAGTTGGTCAGCATTTTTTGTGTACGATGTTGGCGTAAGCGGAACCGTACACATTCAGTTGCTTGTGAAAGGGGGCTTTTTTTAGATGAGCACATTAGCTGGTTAACCTAGCTTGCGCCATGGGGAAGTGCAAGTTTAATGGTAGCTGGATGGCTAATCCCACGTTCGCGACGTGGTTAGCACCGGTTCCAGGCAATAGCTGGAAATTATAGCTTAAATTTAATTTAAAAAAAAAGCTTAAATTTGGTCAAAGTGGCCTTAAAAAGGTCTTAAAGTCTTCAATTTGGCTCCCGTAAGCCTGCAGATACCCAGTATAAGCAGCATCTTCCCAAAAACGGGATTAATGATGCAGTGGTTAACACCACGGAGGCTTCAGTCCGACTCGCCCACCAGGGCCCACCTTTAGGGCTTGATTGCAACCTCATGCCCCCCTAGGGCATTAAAGTTGAGCTGAGTGGTTTTGGGTCATTTTTAAGTTAGAATTCCCGGTGAGAGTTTATTCCTGGTCCTTTTCAGAGGAATAGACCTGGAGTTTATATTTAAAGAGCGTCAGCCCCTACTCCATGCCTACTTCCAGTTTGAAAAATGCCTTGCAGACCGAGAGGGCGGAGCCACTAACAAATACACAGGCTCACAACGGCATTGTGACATCATAATGTACCGCTTAACCGTCAGACATGTGATCTGCATGTCAACCACACCCCCGTAGCGACCTTTAAGACTGGTGTTGCTAGGGGAAGCCGCAGCTGAAGCATAAAAGAACCAGGATGAACACATCCCTTACAGGACTACGCTTGTGAAATCGACCTCTACGACCTCAAAGGAAACAAATGGAGCTCAGTCTTTCGTTACTGCTGAATATAAACTACCTGAGGAACCGTAGCGCTACTTCAACATGTTTATAATCATGTAAAAGTAAGAAGTAGACGTCCAGAAGCACGACTCCACTAGCAGGCGCTGTGCCAGATGGGCATCAGTATAAGTTAGCAGCAGGTAGAGAAACACCCGTGTCAGGGTTAGGGTAGGCATCAGAGGTTAGCGAGACTGTTTTCATTTTGACCAACAAAGTTTAAAAAACAGTCGTGAGCGTTTCCTGCGGTCATTTGGTTTTGGTGGTGTTTCTATAGTTTCTCAAATAACGATGAATAAAAATTCACAATTTAATTTCCATTCATGTTTAGTCTAAAACCGACAAGGAGCGACGGCACGTCTCTGTCACGCTCGTTCTGTGGTTTTTATCCCATTTAACGGTTTTGTGGATCGTCATCCTAGACAACAGAGGCGGCAGCAGACGCTGAAACATGTCAGCAAGCGTAAAAACAAGCTTCTGATGAGACACTTTTACTGACTTCCTTCTGAGACGAAACTCAGTCCAACAGCGTAGTTCTGGACCAAATGTTGGAATTAGAATCAATGAAGACACTTAAAATAGATGCTAGATCTTTTTAAGGTCAAATAAAGACGCTTCAGTTTGGAAATCTAACCCAGAAGAGTTCTCCGATTTATTTAAGTTCAAATCAGATCCCAGACAGTCTGGATTTCACCAAACATACAAAAATAAATAAACTGCTTCGGAGCGTCTCACTTCTGCCCGTCTTCCACACAAAAGGCATCTTTTAGTCGCTGAAAGTGAAATCTACACATTTTATTTTTCAGTCACGCTTAAAAACGATCTCCTGGGATTCCCGCTCCAGACTAATCCTCCCGGTAAGGCTGCCGGGAACGAGACTTCCTGTTGAACAGACGTGTAGCTCGGTGCACACTTCACAGATTACTCTTTAAAATCAGACGTTGGAGAACATTCTGGGAATGACATCGTTCCTGAGCTCTGATTGGGTCCGACCTCATCACAGGCTAATACCCGGATTCCAACGGGAGAAGGATGGAATTTGGTTTTAGTATTTTCCTACGTGAGTTTTCTGTGTTTTGGGAGAAAAGAGCAAACACTTCCCAACTTCCCTGTGGGACCAACATTCCGACACTCGGGCTGTAGAAGGACAGAAAAAAGAAAATCTGGCAGATGTTTGTTTTTTGTGTCAGGTGGGAACTCAAAGAGGCGGGAAAAACAAAGTTGTTATCTGTTACTGGGAATGCCATCGGATCAGACGGGATGTCATTCCCAACTCCAGTATTTGTCATTCCTGGTTCAGCCACGACTGTCGGACAAGTCCAGTTTTTCACTGAGATTCCAAAGTTTCTCTAAAGTTCCCAAGATTCCTAAATTCAGCCGATGTAACCAGAGATGTTCTCCGCTGTGGATCCGAGCGCGGCCAGGACGGCTCGCGTCTCGTTTGGTCTGGACTAACGTGGTGAGTTCAGGGATCCACGAAGGACACGGCGATGTAGCGTGTTCCGGCGGTGGTCGGCAGGCCTTCGTGGTAATGGGTCAGCCGGCCCGGGTGCATGAGCGCCCAGCCTTTCCGGGGAGCCTGGATGGAGCAGTCGTACCGGAGGAACCGGCATCCGCCGCCCTGGAATCACAAAGTCACATGTCAACACCCAAAACAACAACAACAACAAATAAAGCATCAGTAAACTTCAGTAGAAGCATGTGTCACCCGTGACCTGGCCACCCCCACAAAGACCTTCTGGACACGCCCCCTCGCCGTCTCTTCGGTCAGCTCAGCTGGAGATTTGGGTTTTCGCCCCGGTCCGAGCAGCCCAGCAGCATGAGGGCTCACGACCCGGGGTTTGGGTTTTCCTCGACCCGTACGGTTTTTTATGATTGCTTTTATCTTTTTGCTGCTTTATGATCTCGTATTCGTTTTGTCCTCATCGAGTCTTTTACGGTGGTGTTCAGCACCGACAGCGTTGTGGGAGGTGCTTAATAAATAAAGTTTCATTCAACCAAAGTAATTTTATCCTGACAGATTTTCTTCAGCTTCGTAAAATAAAAAGAATATTTTAAAACGTCTCCTTTTTATTCATTTTGATCTAAAACAAGATTCTATGTGAAAGGACTTTTACGAGTCAGATTTAGGTGATTTTCCTTATTTCTAATCTTGTACAAAAGTAATTAATATGTTAAATGAAGCTGCTGAAATGCATGCTGGGAGCTCAGACCGGTCCAGGTGTCTCACCTTGTAATCGATGCCGACCTGATTGAGAGCGATGTTTATGGTGAAGGTGGAGGCGTCGTGGTGCGGCCGCAGGAACGGCTGCTCGTCTGGTTTATACCGGACCACAAAGGCCAGCTCGAAGTGAGCCTGCAGGGACAGAGAGGGGGGAGGGGGGTCACGCAGCCCTGTGTGTGTGTGTGTGTGTGTGTGTGGGAGGGGGGCTGCCTCTATCATCTGTGAGAGTGTCGAGGAGGTGTCATGGTGAGGGACATGAAACAGCTGCTCCCCACCACTAAGGTCAAAGGTCAAACCTGTCTCACATTTAACAAAGGACATCTTGGCGACCCCGAAGACTTCTGGGGAAAGTTCCATGTACGCTCTGAAAGCTGTGCGGTTCTGATGGGACCAGGAATGTTCTGTTTATCCTGTAACTGTATTTTATTACAAGTGCCAGTCTGTTGCTAGGTTACCAGAGGACAGAAATCTGGTGTGGTACTCAGCCAATGGCCGACTCCTCCCCGACACGTTTCACACGCTTCTAATGTTCCTCCGTACTACCTGAAACTTCCAGGTTCAGATTTTATCCGAGGTGGGTTTCTGCTCCGGTTTAGCGTGACTGCAGGAGGAATCAGTTCATCCTTTAATTTACTCCCTTATCGTCATATTTCATCTCATTTGAATTCATCCCAACGGGCCGTAAACTCTCCGGGTTTTCCCAGGAGAGAAGATAGGGATATCTGAGCTGCTCAGTGTCCCCTAACATCCAACACCACCTGAGAAAACAGAACCGTTTACAGACAAACAACCATCACCACCGAGCATCACTGTGGATTTATGTTCCACTAAATGTCCCCATGAGACCGGGAAATGGGGACAGGATTTTCCTTCTGTTAGTTTCTGAGACCAGATCTTTGTCCCCAGCTGCCTGGCTGACATCATCAAAAGCTGCTGTTCCAGACCACCTTAACACCTTGTAATACCACCTTAAAACCTTGTAGTACCACCTTAAAACCTTACAGGACCACCTTAAAATCTTGGAGTACCACCATAAAACCTTACAGGACCACCTTAAAACCTTGTAGTACCACCTTAAAACCTTGTAGTACCACCTTAAAACCTTGCAGTACTACCATAAACACTTACAGGACCACCGTAAAACCTTGTAGTACCACCTTAAAACCTTACAGGACTACCTTAAAACCTTGTAGTATAACCTTAAAACCTTGCAGTACTACCATAAACCCTTACAGGACCACCCTAAAACTTTGTAGTACTATCTTAAAACCTTACAGAGCCACCTTAAAACCTTGTAGGACCACCTTTAAACCTTGCAGTACTACCATTAACCCTTACAGGACCACCTTAAAACTTTGTAGTACTATCTTAAAACCTTACAGAGCCACCTTAAAACCTTGTAGTATCACCTTAAAACCTTGCAGTACTACCATAAACCCTTACAGGACCACCTTAAAACTTTGTAGTACTATCTTAAAACCTTACAGAGCCACCTTAAAACCTTGTAGTACCACCTTAAAACCTTACAGAGCCACCTTAAAACCTTGTAGTACCACCTTAAAACCTTGTAGTACCACCTTAAAACCTTGCAGTACTACCATAAACCCTTACAGGACCACCTTAAAACCTTGTAGTACCTCCTTAAAACTTTGTATTACTCTCTTAAAACCTTACAGGACCACCTTAAAACCTTGCACCCTGTACTAAGCTGTTTTTGGCTGAGTAGAGCTGTTGGAAAAATGCCTCCACTGCTTGGGACACGAGGACCAGGTTAGAACTTTTGAACATCTCAGGCCTCACAGCAGATGACACCCTGTTCTGTTTGGACGTCTCACCTTCGTGTAGTAACCAGGAAACATCTTCTCTGTAACAGGAGCAATGTATTCCAGCAGGAATTTGTGCCATTCCTTCTCAAAGTTGATCTGATTCATATGGATGTCGATGGTGGGAACGTTCTCGTAGCCTCCCTGGATTCTGGTGTCCTGGGAAACAAAAACAACGTAACGTTTGTTGTAATGCTTCAACTAAAGACCGAGATGGACAGAGATGTTAATGCTGCTGCCAGTGGCTCATCGAGGCCACCACTGAGGATGAATCATTTGAAGGCACTCACCACGTTGCCGCCTCCAGACCACTTCCCAAAGTGCTCCATTTCCTCAACCATATGGTTACAAGCAACATCAGTGAAAATAGGGAACCAGTAAACATCTGGACAAGGCTGCAGGTCAGGAGATGCACAGAACCAGTTAGAACAGCGAGCACAACATGGCTCTCTTGACTTCAAGTCGGATTAAAACTCACATTTTCCACCAGTTTGTCCGTCATCATCCGGGTGTAGTTCTCATGGATGTAGCGATCCTGCCAGTCCTGGGACAGAAACCAGTTCCCCCTCAGACACGTCTCAGTTCATCAACACGTTTACTTGCTGGGACCAACTCACCTGCTGGTTTTCAAAGATCTGCCACAGGTCATTGTGCAGATGTTCTGTCCGGTAGTTTTCTGTAGACAGGATGCGACCAAACGTGTCCATGTTGGTGACAAACATGAAGATTCCCTGTGAGATAAAAGCTCTCGTTACACAGGACGTCTGAACACACACACACACACACACACACACACACACACACACACACACACACACACATGTACACACGCACGCACACGCACACACATGCACACACATACACACACATGCATGCACACACACACATGCACATACACACACACACACGCACACACACGCACGCACATGCACACACATGCACTCACATGCACACACGCACACACATGCACACACACACGCATGCACGCACACACACACGTACACAAGCACACACACGCACGCACATGCACATACACACGCACACACACACACCTGGCTGCGGACGTTGTGGCAGAAAGCCATGTCAGGGTCCAAGCTGCTGGAGGTGAAAAGCTGGTTCTGTTTCAGGTCGGATCGCAGAACGCCGGCCTCCACCAGGTACACGCTGGACACATACGGGACGTTCCACACGCCCCTGAGAGACACGAGACAGAATAAAGACCTGAGTGGGACGTTTCAGAGAGGAGGAGTGTTTGTGTTGAATCTGAGGAAAAGGGACAAGACTTTAAATTTCCATCCTGCACACGCCTATTCCGTTACGCCGTTGTCCTTCACCAACACCTGGTCGTAACCATCTGGACTCACGACGGGGAAGGCTGTTGTTGGTTTAGCATCCAGGAAACAGCAGAGAACGTCTCAGCTAGTAGAAGCTAGCTGTTAGCATTAGCATCTCCGCCACACAGCTGAACTCCTCCAGGCTTGTGTTATTTTTGGAGATGAAACATCAACGCTGCAGAGCAAACTGAGTCAGTGGTCGAGTCGTGTTGCTGTTAGCCAATCAGAAGAGAGATGTCCGCATATCAGGAAATAAGAGTTTAGATCCTGCTGACTCTGCTCCTCTCTCCCCTGGCTCACTTCTACTTCCTGAAACAGGAGCGCCGGGAGTTTTTTCCCCCACAGAGATCAACTCACAAGGCATTCATTTATACTAGAGACCACTGGGTTGATAAAACTAGTGAACTTGGTCTTTAAGAGAACACCGGGAACCGGCCACGCCCAGATTTCTTCACGTATTGCTGCCAAGTTTAGTTTCAGCTCTGTCCCGGTTGCTAGGTGACAATACACGGAGCTAGGGGTGAGATTAAATATGAACGTCAGATAGTCCCAATTCACAGCTGCTCTCTTCGGGTCCGGGTCTTAGTGGACCCGACCTACACAAACCTGGTAGGACGGGTCCTCTCAAGGATGCTAGTTCTGAAAATCATCTTTTAATAAAAAACAATAAAACACGTCCTCCTCTCCAGTGAATAAAATGTTCTTCTAACAGGAAGTTCCTCTTAACTTTCACCATAAACAAAGATGAACTGCTGGATGTTTCCAGCCAAACTCATCATGAAGGGGTTTGACTCACACTCTCCGTCCCTGGACGATGTCCACGTAGTCCTCAGACCTGGCATAGTAGCCGTCTGCACTGAGCGCGCCCCAGAAGTTACTCCACAGTCGACCCGATCGAGTGATCATCGGCGCGATGATGGGCCTGAGGAGGAAGTTCAGACCGTCTGTAACTGGGAGGGGAGGACTGATGGAATGCCACCCGGGTCCAAAGGAGACACTTACAGGTTCTGCTCAATCAGGATCTTCAGTGTGTTCTCGTTCTGTAAGACCACGTCGATGTCCAGGTTGAAGAAGTAGTCGCAGTCTTCGTCCTTCCGGCACAAGTCGCTGAAAAATCAGACCCAACATAATTAAAAGGATTACTCAGACAGACCTCAGTTTATCCGGGCATTCCGAGCAAAGGCCTCACTACAAACACTCCTGTGATCGGAGTGGATTAATCCGGTCTGCACCAAGCTGGTCTTACTGGTGCTTTCCTACAGAGGAATCCTCAAAGGAATGGTGTCTACAAAGATCTGAAAACTGTGGTTTAGAGAGTCGGATCACATCCAACTGTGTGTGTGTTTGCATGCGTGTGTATGTTTGCATGTGAGTGTGTGCGTGCGTGTTTGTGTGTGTTTGCATGTGTGTGTGTGTGTGTGTGCGTGGTTGCATGTGTGTGTGTGCGTGTTTGCATGTGCATGTATGTGTGTGAGTTTGCGTGTGTGTGTGTATGTTTGCATGTGCGTGTGTGCGTGCGTGTTTGTGTGTGTTTGCATGTGTGTGTGTGTGTGTGTGTGTGTGTGCGTGGTTGCATGTGTGTGTGTGTGTGTGTGTGTGTGCGTGGTTGCATGTGTGTGTGTGCGTGTTTGCATGTGCATGTATGTGTGTGAGTTTGCGTGTGTGTGTGTATGTTTGCATGTGCGCGTGATTGCGTGTACGTGTGTGTGTGTGCGTGTTTGCATTTGCATGTATGTGTGTGTTTGCGTGTGTGTGTGTGTGTGTGTATGTTTGCATGTGCATGTGATTGCGTGTACGTGTGTGTGTGTGTGTGCGTGTATCTGTTTGCGTGTGTGTGTGTTTGCATGTGTGTGTGTGCGTGCGTATTTGTGTGCGTGTGTGTGTGTGTTTGCATGTGCGTGTGTGTGTGTGCGTGTGTGTGTGTTTGCATGTGTGTGTGTGCGTGCGTATTTGTGTGTGCGTGTGTGTGTGTGTTTGCATGTGCGTGTGTGTGTGCGTGTGTGTGTTTGCATGTGTGTGTGTGCGTGCGTATTTGTGTGTGCGTGTGTGTGTGTGTTTGCATGTGCGTGTGTGTGTGCGTGTGTGTGTTTGCATGTGTGTGTGTGCGTGCTTGCATGTGCGTGTGTGTGTGTGTGTTTGCATGTGTGTGTGTGTGCGTGTTTGCATGTGCATGTGTGTGTGTGTGCACGCGTTTGCATGTGCGTGCGTATTTGTGTGTGCGTGTGTGTGTGTGTTTGCATGTGTGTGTGTGTGCGTGTTTGCATGTGCGTGTGTGCATGTGTGTGCGTGTGTGTGTGTGTTTGCATGTGCGTGTGTGCATGTGTGTGCGTGTGTGTGTGTGTGCGTGCGTGTGTGTGTGACGATGATGATGTAGATGATGCGTGGAACCACCCAGAGAGAGGTTGCTCCTCAAACACTCAGCTGGCCACTGTGTCACGATGGCGGCGTGTTTGCAGACACACGGCGGTTCGTGTCGATCAGATTCATCCCTGAAGGACGTGAACTCCCAGGAGGAGAATCAGAAAACTAAACAGCTCAACTGAAACAAAACTGAGAAAAACCACAACAGAAGATTTCTTGGTTTCTTCTTCAGATGTTCAGATGAAACTCACAAGGCCAGGTCGCGGGAGGCGGGAGCGTCCATCTCCTCTTCGGGACCGACGGATTTAAAATCCTGATAAAGACTTCCGTGATCCTGCAGGAACGAGCTGACCTGACCTTCGTGATGAGGCTCCTGCAGGGATAGAATAAGACAGACGTGTGCAGGGGTCAAAGGTCGTCAGGTTCTAGCCGTTTTATTCAGGACCTTCTAGAACGAAGCGTTTCAGGGCCCGCCCTCCCCTGATTGGCTGCTACGAGGATGCTGGATGTCCAGGAGGGGGTTCTATGCTAATTGTCCTTCTTGATGTTTTTATTCACATCTGAAGTCTTTATAGAGGCGGTCGACCTTTAAAGTATTTATTTCTGCAGAAACAACATTTTTTCCCGTTTTCCTGGTGAGGAAAAGGGGCAAAAGCCTCTGGAGTCCCGGGACGGAGCTGGAATGTTTTACCTGGTTGTAAATGAAGAGTCTGAGCCTGTTTTTGGGATACTGGAGCTTCAGGAGACGTTCAAAGAACACAGAGACGAACGGCGTGGGCTGCTGGATGAAGATGCCGATCACCACCAGCGGGAATTCACTTTCCTGTGGGAAAAACAGATCCACGTTTAGGAAAACCACCAGGAAGAAAAGTGCTTCCAAACGGGGGTGAGGAGGCATGTTCAGACCTTCAGAGCTGAGAGGGAACGCAGGTTCTGGTGGCACACGGTGCAGCCGTCCTCAAAGCTCCAGGTGTTGGGGATGTAGTTACCCAGGTAGTTAATCTGGAGCTGGGACACAGATTAACCATCATTTAACCAGATTATCTGCTGTTTAACTAGAGGAGGAACGTCAAATACCTTCGTTGGTCCGTTTCCGTGGATGATCACGGGAAGGGTATCGTACTGAACGTTTCTGGCCCGAACCCGACCGTTTTCAAACTTCAGAACCACCTCGTCTGAAACAGACCCAGAACCACAGATTATATAACTCACACATTTAGAACGTGTAGTCCTAATCCGGCCTCATGAGGGTCTCTACGACCAACGCTCACGTGGTCCTCCTCCCTCCAGGAGTGATCAGCAGAAAGAGAACATCACACACTGATGTGGACCAGAACCAGCCCGTCTGCTCTGAGGGGAACAGATCCGGTTACTGACGGGCCTCACATCCGCCAGATGTAAACAGCTGGAGCAGATGGTGGGAACAGTCTGACGGAGACTGTTAATCACGACGTGCCTGGATTATCTTTGCCTTTGATGGTTAGCTTAACCCTTTAAAGCCTGAATAACAACAACAATAATAATAATTAATCTAGTGTTCAAAACTGAACATTAATTGATCCGTTTTTCTTTATTATTCATCCATCATCTTCTGCTTATCCAGAGTCGGGTCACGGAGGCAGCAGCCTAAGTAAGGATGCCCAGACTTCCCTCTCCCCAGCCACTTGGGCCAGCTCCTCCGGGGGAATCCCGAGGCGTTCCCTGGCCAGGTGAGAGACGTAGTCCCTCCACCGTGTCCTGGGTCTCCTTTAGGTCTTTTCCTGGTTGGACGTGCCCGGAAAACCTCACCAGGGAGGCGTCCAGGAGGCATCCTGACCAGATGCCTGAGCCACCTCAACTGGCTCCTCTCGATGTGGAGGAGCAGCGGGTCTACTCCGAGCCCTCCCGAATGACCGAGCTTCTCACCCTATCTCTAAGGGAGAGCCCAGACACTCTGCAGAGAAAATTCATTTCAGCCGCTTGTATCCGTGATCTCGTTCTTTCGGTCACTACCCAAAGCTCGTGACCGTAGGTGAGGGTAGGAACGTAGATCCACCGGTAAATCGAGAGCTTCGCCTTCTGACTCAGCTCTCTCTTCACCACGACAGACCGGTACAGCGCCCACATCACTGCAGATGCAGCACCAATCGCCTATCGATCTCATGCTCCAGCTTTCCCTCACTCGTGAACAAGACCCCGAGATACTTAAACTCCGCCACTCGGGGCAGGACCTCATCCCTGACCCGGAGAAGGCATTCTACCCTTTTCCTAATCAAGACCGTGGTTATGAACAGAATACGTGACAAATGGCAGCCTTGGCAGAGTCCACCTCTCACTGGAAACGAGCGCAACTTGGTTGGTGGAGCTGGGTTCCCACTATCGGCTTGTGGAGCTCTCGGAGACCTCTGTGTTCCACCCGGTTTTACCCAGCGGTCAGCCCGGCGTATCTCTGACTCAGAAGCTCTGGTGTTGTGCACAGTTAACTCCGGTTGTAGCTAGGTTGCTACCTCCGTTAGCTTAGCTTCCACCTCTGCGTTAGCTTTGGGTTAGCTTCAGGTTAGCTTGTAGCTAGTTCGACCGGGTGTCATCAGTTGATCCCAGCCTTACAGCCCCACCCTCAGCTCCACCTCTCTTCCCTTTTATGGAATTGTCTGGGCTTGACGGAACCTGTGACACGGTCAAGATGGCGGTGGTGGCCACCTCCCATTTTAGTACAAAAACGTGTTATTGGAGTCTATGGAAACCCATTGTCCAATATTTATATGTCGATGGGCACGACACTGTTTATGTTTACGACTACCAGCCACTAGAGGGCACCGTTGCTCTAAAGAAGCTGGGACTGTGAAAAATAGCGGACTTGACAAGACAAGCAGCTGATTCTGAGCCCAGAAGATGTTCTAACGGTAAAAACTGCTGTAAAATAATCTTATTAGAAGAAACGAGTCCTTATCCTGTACGGTTGGTCTCTGAACGTGGTGCTGGAGCGTGTCAGCAGTGAACCAACATCCCAGCGGCTGGACAATTAGTCCTGTT